CCACAGCGACTACAACTGCAGCGCCGATCACGACTGCGGCACCCGTCACTCCAACATCGGCGGCCCCAGTGACCCCTACGACCTCGAAGCCATCGACACCTACCACCGCCACCCCTGGCACCTCGAGCCCTTCCACTCCGAAGACGTTGACCCCATCATACCCGACCAACGCGCCAACAACAACCAGTGCGAACCCATCGGACCCTGTCTCTACCACCTCTACGCCAACGACTACCCAGAATGGCAATTGGATCAACTGGACGACTGTACCTGTCACGATGCCTCTGATCGTCTCTCCCAAGTGCACTCAAGTGAGTGTCGAAGGCGATGCCACGTACTGCATCGATGGGCCCATCTGCAGCGGTTCCGGCAACTACATTGATGGAGCCAAGTGCCCCGTCAAGGGCGATGTGGCTGTGCAAGACTGCTTGTCGTCGTTGAAGAGTTACACCGACAGCGGCAAGTGTGTCGCTCCCAAGGACGCGGTATGCAGCAGGGTCGTCACGGGGGTGTGGGGATGCAAGTGGTAGTTGGCACCAACCTCGTGGCACTTTAATCAGGAATGAGATTGCGTCGTCCTGCCAGCTGCCTTGGCCAGTTCGCAAGGATGGAGTCAAGCCAGTTATGCCAGAGCTCCAAAAAGGAACAACTTGTCGTCAGGAGCTAGGACGAGAGCCCTCGTGTGTGCTTGTTTCCTGGCGAAAAGGTCACGGCGTGCGTGGTGAAAATACTGCGGGGGCTCGAAACCACCTCGTGCGACGCGTTCACCAGATAAAAGAGCGCATTGGACTCGTGCTGGCATGAAAAGGAAGCCCCACCAACAACTTTCACGTCTTGTCCATGGACCAGGTTTCACAACTACATCACACCAACGCTACACATCCACATTCCATCGACGGCACGAAAGGGCCGAATATCAAAGCGCATGCCGATAGACACACTTCATGCACGCGAAAGGCAAGAAGCGGCCATGGGGCTTCCTACATAGGAGTCAATCGCTCGCCGTCGCAGGAACGAGTATTCGCCACACGACCTTTGCTGGGAGCGGAGACAATGGCGGCAGTGTTCTTGTGGTGATGCTCTCGCCGAATGTAGGTGCTTGTCCACCAGCGGCTACATACATTTTCGATGTGAGCGGGCTAATGGATATGTTCAAGTTATGTTTAAAATGAAGAATGTGTGTGTCAGAAAATCATTTTGAACTATTTTGCAGAATTCAAGAATGCAGCAAAAAGTTGTTTAAAAAAATTTTCCACTGCGGATCTCGTGGTGCGAATGCAGAGTCGCGTGTGATTGGTCCAAATTTCTTTATTACAAAGCCTCTCATTTTACCATTTTCGATATCATCATGGAAGCTCTGTCTATCCGCGACGTCCATCCGATCGCCGTCGACGACGCCACTGCCCCGAGCTTGTCTATTCACAAGACGACAATCCAAAGCCTGTTTAAGCGTCGCCGCATCCGCGTCAAAGAACTCCTGGGTGCGGGCCTGTCCTTGGTCGGACAATCCGTCACAGTCAAGGGCTGGGCCAAAACGCTCCGCGAAGCCGGTGCAGGTGCCTTTGTCTTTCTCGAAATCAACGACGGATCATGCTTCACGGGCGTCCAAGTCGTGGTGAACCAAGACATCCCTGGCTTCCAAGACGTGATCAACTCGGGCGGCACCGGCGCCAGTTTTGCGGTTGTCGGCAACGTTGTAGAAAGTCCCGCCAAGGGCCAATTGATTGAAATCAAGGCGACGGAAGTGACCGTGTACGGCACGGTCGCGGACCCCGCGACCTACGCGCTGTCGAAGAAGCGCCACACGTTGGAACACTTGCGCGACAACGCCCATTTGCGCGCTCGCAGCAACATCCACTCGGCCGCGATGCGTGTGCGTAACGCGATGGCGCATGCGACGCACACGTTCTTCAACGAACGCGGGTTCTTGTACATCCACACGCCGCTGATCACGGCGTCAGATTGCGAAGGCGCTGGTGAAATGTTCGCGGTGACCACCTTGTTCAACAAGCACGGCGACGGCAACCTCCCCAAGACCGCCGACGGCAAGTCAATTGATTTCACCAAAGACTTCTTTGACAAACCCGCGTTCTTGACCGTGTCGGGCCAGTTGAATGTGGAAACGCACTGCTGTGCCTTGTCCGACTGCTACACTTTCGGACCAACGTTCCGCGCCGAAAACTCTAACACGGCGCGCCATTTGGCCGAGTTTTGGATGATCGAGCCCGAAATCGCGTTCGCTGACCTGAGCGACGACATGGATCTTGCGGAAGACTACCTCAAATACGCGGCGCAATATGCGCTGGACAACTGCGCGGAAGACCTTGCTTTCTTCGACAAGAACGTGGAAGCGGGCTTAATCGACCGTCTCAAGGCGACGATCGCTGCGCCGTTTGTCCGCTTGACGTACACGGACGCCGTCGAACTGATCAACAAGCCGGAGAACCTTAAGAAGGGCAAGTTTCAAGTCAAGCCAAAGTGGGGCGACGACCTCGGCAGCGAGCACGAGCGATTCATCACGGAGCAAATCTACAAGAAGCCCGTCATGCTGTACAACTACCCCAAGGAGATCAAGGCGTTCTACATGCGCTTGAACGAAGACAACAAGACTGTCGCGGCTTGCGACGTGCTTGTCCCTAAGATTGGTGAAATCATCGGCGGTTCCCAGCGTGAAGAACGCTTGGACGTGTTGGAAACGCGTATCAAGGAAGCCACGGGACATGACCCCGCCGAGTATGGGTGGTACTGCGACCTTCGTCGATACGGCACGGTGCCCCATGCTGGTTTCGGTTGCGGGTTCGAACGCTTGGTACGTTTCGTCACGGGCATTGAAAACATCCGCGACGTCATCCCGTTCCCCCGTTGGCCCGGTAACGCCGCGTTCTAAGACCTAGTGGACATGCAGTTGTACCTGCACATTAAGAGATGAGCCAACCATGTAGCGAATTCATGCCGTCGTCACAAACTGTTTCATGCACGCATCAAGCTTGTCGACTCACATCGGACGCGCTAGTCCTTGGAGGAGTTCCCTGCATAGGGTCTGGACAAGATCGAGCGCGGAGATACCGCGTAGGTCAAGTGCGACGAGGAATATTACATGTTAGAGGTAAACTTTGGCGCGCGAAAGTGGACAATTGGATTTTTATAGACTGGTAGTGTGAATCTTGGATTTTGAATGGAATGACAATCACATTGAAAAAAAATACAGTGAGGATGTATAATATGTGAGAGGTTGTCCGTCGCACTGGAATTTTTAACCCTCAGTTGCAAAATACGACGCAGGGAGAACAAGATGACTCACGAACTCGCGGCGCGGATTGAGTACTCGGAGAAGTACGTCGATGACACCCACGAGTACAGGTATGGCAATGAAGATGGGTGTCGCTGTCTCTCAAGTGCCGGTTGTATGGAATGTGTAGGCACGTTCTGCTTCCCAAGGAAATGCAACGAAGTTTGCCAGACCGACTCCTTGCAGAGACCGAGTGGCGCCAACTCGGAGTTCAACAAAGCAGAGGATGGGTGCACTATGCGATTCACAAACCTGAACCACACATTTTGCTCTTCAGACGCCCGTTGGGCACGGACCCCACCACCGGCCGCGTCAACTCGTCCATGGAACGCGAAGCCAAGGAAAAGTACGCGCAAGAGATGGGCCAAGTCCGCCAGTAATTGCATAAACTCCAAGGACCTCAATGAACGTCGTATGTTGCACCGCGCGACGTGGTGACACTCCTTACTCGCAAGCCTTGCGTAATTCATGTAACATGAAGACGCTATCGAATCCCCCACGCGGACTCTTTCCAAGCACACTGCTGACTCACCCACGGACTAAACATGACGGATTGCTTCCAATTTCGATATGCGTCTGCGTCAACTCACCAACTCCAAGTGTCCATCGGAGCTCTCGTGCATTGTTCGAATACTTAATTCGGACTGAGTCCAGAAGCGTGCAATCATTTTGGCCACAATGTTGCCATCAGTGGAAGAAAGTCCAAGTGGCCATTTCTCGCCGCGGCCCTCGCTGTGAATCTTTTTCCTTGGGGAAATCGAAACTTCACTACCTCGAGATGTCCTACCGATACAGTGTTCGTCGATGGCAAGTACTGTGTGTATCTTTCGCGTTGACGAGTGTGCGATAAACTGAAGTCCTTCCTCATGACTGCTCCCCGCGGCACGGTCCATGGCGTCTGTCCTGCATTTCAGCATGGACGGTGGCGTCCAAGAATCCACGATGTCCTCGTCAGGTCTGTCGATCCATCGCATGCGGCATGTCGAGGTAGTATCCCTCAATGTGTAAGCCCCGCACGGCAGCCAAGTCGCCATCCACGTCCATGTGGCGCATGATGCGCTTGATGGAAGGCGGCACTAAGCAGCGTCCACTTGACGTGGCAAGGACGGCGGGAGCGGTGGGTCGATGAACTTCATCTTCGTTGTGGAAGATTGAGCGTCGAGATATCTGAGCGCGATGCATGCGCCGACGACTTCCGACGAGTACACTTCCGGACAGCTACCAAACAAGCGACAGAAGGCGGCCGTGGAAGAGATCTCGACCGTGTGCAGTAGAAAGCCACGCTGATGGATGACGACGACCTTCGCAAACGCTTGTATGAGTGGCTCGATATCAGCCGACAATCCATCTTCATACGTAGCCCAGGAAATTCTTCCGAACGTAAATCGTGCCGTGATTGCTCCTCTCGATGGACAAGGGCCAGTTGTGGCCAACATGTCGTCCGTCGTGAGGACCTTTGCGTTGTGCATTGGCGGGGATTCGAACGTTGTGTCACTGGAGCATTGGCTCAAACTTTGTCTACGAGGACTGTGGCTATCGTGCGCCGACCACTCCCCTGAACAGCTCGACCAAAAACCCCTGTTCCTAAACTTGCCCCAGGAATGTGTCGTGCTCAGCCAACTGACGAGACGGAAAACAGCGGCGACATGGATGTCCGCGAAAGAGAGCACCGCCGGTGTCACAGCGACGTCTACGTCACCCTCACGGACCATGGTACGTTCCCCCATACAAACGGGATTGTGAATCCGTGCATGCAATTTCCACGTCAAGGGCTTGCAGCTGTCGTAGCATGCAAGAGGTGGTGGTATTGAACGGATTGGGATCAAGGACGTGAACCTCTGTTGCGGTGGAGACATTGCGCACTCTAGCGTTTCAACCCTCCGCCCTGTAGTGGCTGGTCACCGCGCCATACACCGGACTGATGCAATGTTTCGTCTGGCCCAGACATGCGCGCAACCCAGACATGCGCGCAACCCAGTCTCATGGATGCGGTAGTGCTTCTCTGCCTCGTACACACAATGGTGCATGTTTCGCCATGTGCACCAGCCAGCCTCATGGAAGAATTCTACACTATGTTGTCTGCAAACGCTACGCAACCAACGCATCTTTTTTCGATCGCACTTGCAATGTGCTTCTCCTATGGGTGTACCTTTGCTTGCAATCTCCACCGGTAGCAATCAATCAAATTACCAAGTAGCAGCTCGAACCTGCACACGAGATCTACCACGGAATGATCGATCCGTCCGTGTGGTAGAACCGTCCGTTATCGTCGGGAGAGGCTTTGTCCAAGATGCTGGTGAGTCCCGCCACGCTCTCGGCAGTCGTGATGTCTCCGTGGTGCCCCGTCATGTCGGTTTTAACGTAGCCAGGGTGCAGCAAAATACACGTGATGCCTCGAGGCTTCAAGTCGACAGACAAAGACATTGAGAGGCTGTTGAGCGCCGTCTTGGACGACCTGTACGCGTAATACCCGCCCGACTTGTTGCGCTCGATGCTGCCCATTTGCGATGTCACTTGGGCCACGATGGTCATTCCAGAGGGCGACGTTGCCGCCGCCAGCTCCAAGTTTGGCAAAAAAGCCCGCGTGACGAGCCACGGCCCGACCGAGTTTACTTCAAAATGGCGCATGATGCAAGCTTTCGTGGCCGTTTCGAGCGTGTCGCGAGCCAGGATACCAGCGTTGTTGATTAGGAGATTGATGGGCACTTGACTTCCCACCGCCTCAGCTGCGGCATGGATTGAGTCTTCGTCGCTCACGTCAAGGGCAACAATGCGTTCTACTTGCAGGTCAATCAACTACGACACAACGAGGTGGCTTGGTCAGTGGAATCAGTTGGCAGGTGTTGTTACCTCTTGCGATGAAGCAGGGTTGCGCACAGCAGCAATGACGTTCCAGCCCTGCGCCTTGTAGTGCTTGGCGAAGGTCAAGCCAATGCCGCGACTTGCCCCCGTGATGAGCACGCGTTGTGCAGGAGTGCTCATTTGAGTCCGAGGTTGACTCTGGAAATGGCATGTTGTCGATCTCCAGTTGGCCGGGGGGTTGGTGACAATAAAACGTTTTACATATATCTTATCCAATCTATGCATACAAAAAACATGTATAATGCACCCTAACGTTTTTTCATGTAGTACCTTACATTTGAAAATCTGCGCTGGCACCCTTTCCAAAAACTTCCAGTTGGTGTCGCGCTGCTCCACCGCCCGCTGAGGTTTCCTATCGCAGCATCAACCCACTGCAGACGCAATACCGCGTTCAAATCAAGTAGAAATGCGCACATAGCAGCATTCCCACCGTCATGTGGTGTTTCAGCATATCCGGATACCGAACGATGTGTAGCCAATCCGTACTTGGTCGAAGTAGATCAAGACAAGTTGAAGTTTATTTTATTTTCCCCAATATTGTGTGACACTTTAAACCCACGAATAATATTACGCCCATGTCCGGATTGGTCCGATTCAAACTGCCCTATCCCTTCGCACCTGGGGGCCAGGAACGTTTTACTATACTGAAACCAAGTATAATTCCCAACGGAGCCTTCGCACCTACATGGCGCGCCGTCCAAGTCCGCCGCACATTGGCGAGGAAGGTTCGCCTGGTGAACATGTCGAAATCACGCGCCAACATTGGACGTCCAAGTAGAGGGCGGATGGTGAGGACGGCGACAGCCTTCCAGGGAAGCATGCTGTCCATCGCCGCGGTTGCGGCATTTGACTGGGAGTTTGTATGGGCTTTGTGGTGTGATTTGGACCAATTCGTCAGTTTCTGATTGGAGAAAAGTCAACCGCACCGCCGACAATGGACCAGCAGCTCGTCTTGGTCTGTCTCCTCGTCGGCACTGGAAGGAAGGAGAACCCGTTCGTGGTGGCCGCGAATGCGAATGACCTTGTCGGGCAAGTCAAGCAAATTATCTTAAAGGAGAAGCCGCGGACATTCGAGTCGATCGAAGCAGACGAGTTGGTGTTGTACAGGTGCCGCAACCAGGACCCGCTCGACCTCAACATTCTCCAAAAGCTGGAAAAGCCCGCGGCGCAGGTCGTGCTTCAGATGCACGTGGGAGGCCTTGTCGAGGAGATGACTGTGTTCTCGAAGCTGCGCAAGTACTTTGAAGTGCCTCCCGAAGACGAACGCATTCACGTGCTGGTCAAGCTTCCGCTACAAGCTGTGCCCAAGATCGCCGCTGCACGTGCAGCTCGTGGTATTCCTCTGGACAAGAAATTGACTGCCAGTATGCAGGTTGGTCCAAAGTCATGCCTTATATCCTCATGGTAGAGCAGCTATTGCTCGACGACGACAAAGACAAGGCTGCTGCTGCTGCCGCGATGTCGGCATCGTCGTCGGCGTCATTGGTGGCACGTCAAGCAGCAGCCTTGTCTACGACACAGTCCCCATCCGCAGCCATGGCGCTTCAGGAGCCCAAGAAGCGCGGGGCAGGGAAGCGACTCACGGACAAAGAACGCATGGAGATTCTCAGCGTGATCGACTCTGGTGCGAAAATCACCCACGTCGACTTGGCCCTGCGGTACGGCATTTCCGAATCTGCGATCCGCAAGCTGCGGAAGAACAAGGGCGAGGTCCAGAAGCGCTACCTTCTGGGCAACAAGCACGTGCGGGACCTCCGGCAACGCGGCTCCAAGCTCGGGAACGCTGCGTTCGAAGACGAGCTTTACCGGCTTATCTTTGAGATGCAATCGCACGAGTCTCGTCTGAGCTCGACGTTTGTGCGGAAAAAGGCACTGGAGATCGCGCCCAAGTACAACATGATGTCGTTTAAAGCGAGCGCGGGGTGGTACCGGCGGTTCTGTTCGCGGTACCACTTGAATGCCAACACGGGGGCGCTGCACCTGCAATCGCTCGTGGACGATGCGGACGAGGCTGCGTCGTCCATGATGCAGCAGAACCTCATGCAGATGCACATCGAGAGCATGAATCACGCCCATCTCCATGCCCATCACATGACAGTTCACGACGTTGTCGGGGACGAAATCACCGACTCAGCGGATGTCGCAGAGCACATCATATAAAAACACGATTGTAGTCCACGTGATGTGCATGGCGCCGCGACCGAGCAGGTCCTCCACCCGCACGAATGCAAGCATCGCACAGCGTGTCCACTCCATCGTCTGCGCGGTCGGGACTTCGACGGCCAAAGTCACGGGGACAACCCTCCATATCTCGGCATCGCGACGTAATCTGTCGACGTCTTCTTGCAAAGCCATGATGCGTTCGTCGAGATGACTTGCATGGTAACCTGTGTTTCACTGGCGTCCACCGGAACTCGAAGGCGGCGGTCCGTTTTAGAATCCGCGGCGGCTGCGTAGCACAACGCGCGCCTGGGAAGAACACGAAAGCTCCGTCGTGACCAGTATGACGGTCGACCCATCAGTTCATGAGTGATGAGAAAGCCGCGAGCACGTCAACATGCCGTACAGTTGAATGCGATCGAATGGTGATGTCGTTGACGCTAGTGCGTACACTGGGTGCTTCCATAGCACCGATCTTGGGCGAGGATTGACGATGCCGATGAATTGCGCACGGACCGCCGTCCGTCTCTCTCGGTGGATGACCTCGGCATGGCCGACTCGACAATCATGGCCAGCAAGGAAGTGCATGACATCGAGATGCAACACGGGGGACCGGACAATGGCCCTCGCTCGCATACCATGAGTGGAGTTGTATGCCCCACCTCGGACGGCACGAAGGTGCTCGACTGCAGCACGACGCCGATCCATTGTGTCACCCGAATGCAGCCGACACATTGCAGCTCAGTGTGTGGCTTGCTCTCAAACACCGCGTTCATCTCGGTGACCACAATGCCCCCAGTGTGCTGCTTTCGCTGTTACGCTGACGAGCTTCAGCCCGGCCAAGAACGACCTGGAATCGAATGGAACATGCGTCTGTGAGGTCGCCAACGAGGGCGCGCCCACCGCTTCCCTTCGGCGCATGTACGAGGGCATAGCTCGTTGGTACTTGTGGCTGCGACGCCACCATTCGAGGTTGTGAAGTGGTCGGGCGAGACACGATTCCCCACTTTCGTGCTCTCCCCCGCCGAACCTCGAGCCAACGGATAAAAGCGCCGACACACCGGGAGTGCTCTCATGCCAATGACCTGCCTCCGACCTTTCCGCCATGTCCCCGTTGGCAGCGAAATGGCCATCGCTATGGTCACCGTTCCTTCGCGACCGGAACAAGACCGCAGCAGCAGGACCAACACCGCAAATCACCGAGACCGACATTTGCCACTCACGGGAGGCGATGATAACTGGGGCGAGAGTGTCTGCCGTGATGACCCTGCGTTGTCAAGGCGAGCAGACAATTGCCGCGGGACCATGCTCACCAGCGCAATGACGTCCTCGCCTTTGAACGAGTCGAAGCATATTCATTGCGGCGAATTCCACTGCGACACGGGCAGGACGGATTCATGCAGGAAACGAAAGTCGTGCATGTGTGCTCGTTCGTCAGATCTTGAGCCATACAGCGGTGGAATGCAAGGGCACGTCGTTCATTCGAAGCATGGTGCGCAAAGTGGAGACGGAACGACTGGTGCATTTTACGATTGCAGTGGACGGTCAAAGTTCCACTCGTCCCGCACAGTCGACACGCCCTGCTCGTTTTGCTCCATCTCAGCGGTCAAGACCTCTTCTGCGTCCTTCTGCACGAGGTTCACGCCCTCCGCTTCCTTCACCGGGTCCTATCCGATCATGTTTGTGAGAATCCCGTCGGCACATGGGCACCGTGGCTTCGTACCAGTTCCCCCATGAGCACAATGTTCTCCCCCCTGTCACCATTGTTTCACGTTAGTAGCATCACGATAACGTGGAGGATATGGTGAATCGTCGCAAAAGGTTTTCCCGCATGCCGCGCAAGAAGCGACGTACCGAATGATGTACAGCCCGAGCGGTATGTCGCAATATGTGTTGCCTACGATGTGGCGTTCGCACGTGCCTTCAAGCACGATGTTTGCTACTCATTTCCACGGGATTAGCCGGTCGTCTTCTTCGCCGCCGCGCTCGTGGACATGGGCATTGGTGCGTCGTCGAAACCATAGGCTGCACACGTACAAAATTGATCGAAGCTTCGAAGCATACCGACGAGGTGCCGGCCGTCTCTCAACACGACGAGCAGTTGCTCTAAGCACCCAGCACCTCAGTGAGAAAGACCAGAGACCATGCGTCCTCACGTGCACGTACTGTCCAATTGCTCCACCAGGCTAGACACGCCTGGAAACCCGTTCATGCTGTTCATCGCCGCCGCGCCGCTGCCGCAGGTCCTGACAATGGAGCAGGTCGACTAAGTACCTGATGATCGTACTTAAACGAATATCCATTGTGCGTTCCATCCAACTTGACTCTGTGGCGATGGCGGACGTGGACAAGGTGCGGACCTGCCACGATGGATCGTGTCCTGGATGGTGATGCTGTGTGTAGTTGATGCGCTTGCTGCGGCCGATCTACGATGCGATCGATGGACGGCAATACAAGAACGCGATCAAGCTGTGCAATCAAAAGAAGATCTGTGACCTTGACCTCGTCCAAGTGTTGCAGGCGCATTGCTTGGAGCGCACGGGTAAGGTAGACGATGCCCTTCGCATCGTGCGACGCGTGCAGCTCAAGAAACCCACGGACGAGAACTTGCTCCACACGATGCAGCTCGTATTCAAACTGTGTGGCGTCCCTGAAGAGATGCTTACGACGTATGAGCATGCCGCCGCGGCGAACCCAACCAACAAGGAAATGCATTGTCAGCTTTTCTATGGGTACGCACGCGCGATGTCGCTGGCCAAGCAGCAGCAGCTCGCGTTCAAAATCTACAAGTCGTTTGGCTCGCTTCAATGCGTCGGTACGGACAGTTGCCGGAGAACTGTTGTCCCTCTTCCGCTCACTGCACCTGGCTAGGCTGGGCGTGCTTGAGCATGCTGCTTCAAGTGACTGTGGACAAGTCACTGCCTGTGAAGATGCTGCCACTGGCCGACAAAATGCTGACAAAGGCACTACGCGACCACCCGAACGAGTTGAATGGCGAATTTGGCCAGCTGCTGGTGCAGTTGCTGCAGGCGCAAGACAAGCCGCACGACGCAATGGCTGCATTCGACGAGTTCATTCGAGGTGCCTCCACCACCGATGACAAGAACACGGTTGCCCAAGTCAAGCCACGATCGCTTGAAGGCCAAGGTTTGTGCATGCGATTCCTCCGTTTCTTTGCAGAGCCACGCTCCCTTCAAGTTTTGCACGTTGCGCCAGTGTGGATGGTCTTGTGGACTTGTTGGATCACCCAGCTCAATCCTCTTTGTGGCCTGTAGGTGTTCCCGACGACGAGATCGACCTAGGGCCGATGCAATCGATCGATCGCAACGCGCTCGAGGCGTCGTTGGCCCGCGACATCCAAGACTGGACTCGCACGGCCGCCGTATACACCGACCTCTTGACAAATTTCACCGCGGCGGACGACTGGACGTTCTGGCTCGGACTCATCGACGCTACGTTCCAAATGAACACACCTGATGCACACGCCCGCTTGAAGCACACAATCGAGAGCCTGCAACAACTTCATGGAACAAAACTGCGCGGGCCGTGGCTCGCCGGCGTCGAGGTTGCCGTGCGCCATGTCCAGACTTCTCCGTCGCTCTCCCAAGCCGACCGAGACAAGCTTGACGTCGCCGTTGTCCACGACGCCATTGTGCCGTACATGGATCGATTTGCCAGCAAAACGTGCTGCGTGACCGATCTCCACCGGTACATGAGTGCCATGGGTGACGCTGGGAAAGCCGCGTGGGTCGACGCGGCGAAAACCCGCCTCGCCACGGCCCAGGCCCTACAACAGGCCGGTTCAGACGACAAAGCCCAAGTGACCAAGGAATTTCGCCACGCTCTCACGGCCCGCAAGATGCTGCGATTCCTCGGCGAACACTTGGCGCTCTCGATCGACGACTTGTTGGCCCGGGTCGATACCATGCTGACTGAGTACGATGCAAACCAATGGCTCAATGACCAGGCCGTCGGTGGACAGCGCGAAGTCCAAGTCACCGACGACCTACTGCTTCTGACGGTGTTGCTCCTTCTTGACGCAGTCGAGGTGGTGGCCCATGCGACGTCGGTAGTCGAAAAGAATGCCACCGTCCGTGGCTTACTTTTGCATGCCGCCACGTGCTTGGAATTTGGGCTCGCCAAAAGCGCCTACAACTTTCAGATGAAGCTGTTGCTGTGCCGCGTGTATGCGCTCCTCGGCGCCGGCGACGCGTTCTTCACAAGGTACCACGAGCTCGACATCAAGCAAATCCAAGTCGACTCGCTGTCATACTTGGTGCTGGATCCGCTACTGGCGCTCGGCCAAGTCGATGACGCCCGCCGCATCTGTGAGTCGATTCGGTCGCTCCATCGCACGACGGCGCGGGACACACCCGAGTTCATCTCGCGCGCTTATCGACTGGGTACGTGAAGGATGCGATGCCGGGAAATTTTCGTGGCGATGAATCTGACAGTGGTGTTTGGCCAGGGGTATTCTCCAAGGCCCAGGACATGACTGGATTTCTCCTCCACAAGATGAAGCGGTCGCAAATGCTGGCCCTGGCAACGTCCGAGCTGGTTCACTCGAGTCTTGCCGACCTCACGCGCACCACGATCAGTCATCTGCAGAGCCAATTTGCCCTTCAACCAACACTGCCTTTGCTCGACGACCTTGAACGGCTCGTACATGCTGCCACGTCATCCGGTCTCTCGCCCAACCACCACCGCGAAGTCCAAGTCACGTGGACCGCTTCCGTGCCGCAGGTAAGGTATTCCATGCCATCGATGACCAAGCGAATGCTGTAGACAAAAGGACGGTATGTGTTTGAACCCAACTCGACGGTATCGTGCGACCGAACGACTTCCGACCCCGCCGTGGTGACGCAGTGGCTCCAGCTGCGTGTGACTGTGCCGCACCTGGTCGCGACCGTCCTCTCTGGTCAAGCAACGCCTGAGGTAGCGAGTGCCCCGGGGCTTTCCCGTTGTCAGTTCTTCAGGTATTGAATGGATGGTGAACGTGTAGGCGGTGGCTGGTCATTTGGGCACACTCAAGTCGGCGGTGCAATCGATTCAAGGCGTGCAGGACTCGCCATCTACTCTGTGGCAAGTCGCGCTGACAGCCGCAGACGCGTTGACGCACACGATCGCAGCGATCGACGATTTTTCAAAGGCAGCGGACGCCTTGGCCGAGCTGGCCACGCAGCTTCAGCACGTGAAAGTGTTTGAACACACGTTGGTCGACTCGTCCGGTGGCCATGCCGTGTTAAATGCGCATGGCTTGTCACTGGCGGCGACGTGGACGCACCAAGTGAGCACTTACGTTGTGCTTCTCATCGCGTTGGTCGGCAAGCTGGTCAAGCCCAAGAAGAAGGCCAAAACCGACGGCAATGCGACGAAGAAGGCATGTGTCGACCGCCTCAAGGCAGCTATCCAAGCGCACATCGAGCTCAACACTCGAGCGCAGCACGTCCTCAAGGAATTCAAAGCCGCCGTACCGCCCGTCCCTGCCCACGCGGTCGTCGCGGAATTTGCAGCCGCTGTGCAAGCCAAGATAGCTGCCGCCCACGACGCGACTGCTGTCAAGCTGCTTGGCGCAGTCACCGACCAAATTGGGTTTTTGCGGTCGCTCTAGAACGTTTAGAGGCTGTTTGTCGTTCAAGGGATATATCGCGTCGGTGTGATAAGGTTTATTCACATTGCAGATAATGATGCTTACTGAATGTGTCCGGGACGAGTATGTGGGCAAGTGTGTGGACACGACGGCCGTGGGAAGCAGTCTTGACCAACCCTTCCAACACCTTACGCCGACTTGCTGTGCTTCCAATCTCTGTAACACGCTTCGAGCGCCGCTTGTTCCTTGCGGCATTCTTGCAATTCATGCCAGTTCGAGTCCAACGCGTTCTTGTACTTGGTGAACGCGTCGCCGCAGTTGGTTTCGAGCACCCGCAGCGTTTTCAACACGCATGCCGTGACCTTTTCGCCAGGAACCAAGCACGCACGAGGGTTCTCATCCTTGCTCTTGCACACGAGGTATTCCTTGTTCACGCTCGCACACTCCGTGCCGTAGATCGTCGCCGCGCTCAGCAGTGCCGTCGAATCGGTCGCAGGGGTCGACGACTTGGAACTCATGACGTTGATTCCTGCAGCCACAAAAACTCCACCACGAACTGCCGTCGGTCCACTCAATCCTCTCATATTTCATATATCCTCCCACAATAAATACACCAGTCCTAATTATTGAACCACGGTTCGAACCTGTTTTAGTACCTAAAAGTATACTTGCAGAAGATATGCATTCAACGCTGCACAACATATATCGAACTTCCAGCCCATAAAGTCGACTCTCCCATCTTGAGTCAATTGGTCGCATCAGCATCGCTTCCCCAATGCATTTGACCACCTCAGTGCAAGGTCGCATTTCATTATACAGTTAATCCTACAAAATCTGACAGTGTGATAAATATCATTTTAGTCACTTTAGGTAGGAAAACACCTGTAATATTTCATTCCTTGAGATATCGTGTTTGACAGGATCAATTCACCTTTCACATTCACCTTTCACATTGCACCATGGGAAAGCACGAGGAGCAGGATGCAGAGTTGACGGCGCAGGAAGCTGCAGTTTACGATCGCCAAATGCGTCTGTGGGGAGTGGAAGCTCAAAAGCGTCTGCAGAATTCCCACATTCTCATCAGTGGAATGACACAGCTCGGGTCGGAAGTCGCAAAGAACCTTGTGTTGTCTGGGATGTCCGTGACGTTGCATGACGTGAATGTGGTGACGCGAGCGAATGTTGACACACAGTTCTTCCTCACTGAAGACCAAATTGGGCTCAACGTATGCAGCACTACTTTATGTTCTCCTCGCTCTAACTTGCCATAGCGCGCGGAAGCTTGCTTGTCGGCTGTGCAGGAGCTCAATCCCCTCGTCCATGTCAGCGCCATTACCAAGCCCCTCGACCACTATCCTAGCGACCACTTTGATCAGTACAGCGTCGTGTGCGTCTTGTCAGCGTCGCGAAAGCTCCAGGTGTCGAATTCCCAGCCCCGTTCGAGTTCTCACCATCATGTAGATCTACTTGGACAATTTGTGCCGCGAGAAAAACATTGCGTTTTACGCAGGTCATGCGTTTGGTTTGTCTGGCATATTCTTCTGCGACTTGGGCAACGAGCACGTGTATCGGCGCCATGTCCAATCGACCGACGCACCATCAGACACCACGACCGTCCCCGAACTCAAGGTGTCGTACCCATCACTGGAGACGTCAGCGCTCGCGACGTGGAGCTCTCTGAAACCCACGAGAAAGCGCAGTCCCGTCACTCCCGCGCCGTACATTGCCTACCAACGTACGTACTGCTTGTATCTTGACGAGCGATTTTTACGGTCACGTGGACCTAGTTCTACTGGAATTTGTCGAGGCGCATCACGAGTTCCCGACTGCAGCTACCACCGCCGAGTTCGTCGCGTTGGCGAAATCTCAGTTGGAAGGCCAGGGTTTGCCAGGGTTCTTCGATGACCACCAATTGGCAACGCTGGCGGCGACGGCCGAAGCGGACGTGGTGCCCGTGTGTGCTATCGTCGCAGGTATCCTCGGCCAGGAAGTGATCAAGGCCATTTCGATGAAGGACGAGCCTTTGAACAACTACTTTTTCTTTGACGGGGCGACCGGCGAAGGCACCGTGCGCCGCATCGGGTAGCTTCAGTGTCACTCCTCCATTCAGCTAACAGTAACTCTTGAACGCGTCGCTCGCTACACCTACATCTGCCTCATCACGGCGTTCGTGCCCATTTCGGCGTCACGCGTCGCCGTTTCCCGTGCGTAGGGATTCCCATTCCTTTCTCGAAGATCCCAAATGCATGGCTCAACCTCACCCGAGCGCACATGCGGAGCGGTGTGGCTGCCATGCAAAGCATCTCTCCCTTTGATCGACGGCGAAGCCAGAGCCCACTACCTTTCCGAGCTCGAACTTTGATCACTCCTGAGCTTCTACTACCTTCCTTGAAACCCAGGATGACGCACCTGCAGACAACTCGAGGCTTGGCTCGTGACTGCGCATTGCCATGCACTCATGCCGTCGATCACCGACCACAAAGGGCGAGGGAGCATCTCAACATCGACCCTCGTGGCGGACACGAGCAGGGCTCCATAGTTTGGTGGACGAAAAATTGGTCAAAGGTGGAGAAAGAACTCAGTGGTGTAGCCTGGCGTACTGTCTGCATGTACTATTGAAGAGATATTCCTACGACGGAGTGCACTAGGACCCATGAGGTCACTCGAAGGGCACGTGAAGGAGCAAGGAGGACGGCGGTTCGCCCATCAGGTAAAGGCTTAGTCTTGCTCGCTCACGTCTTCGAAGTTTTCAACAAGGTCAGGGACGTCGTCGTCGTCTTCGTCGTCCAAAGCGGCGTGGCCTTGGGCGTTGCGTTGCATGGCCGTGTACGTTTCAGCGATTTGCTTCAAGTTAGCAAGGTTGTCCGGGCCGAGTTGGCTGATGATGCCAGGGAGCAATTCCTGCAACGATTTGGTGGAAGCCGGGCCGGAGACGGCGAACGTGTTGGACGCGATCGACGCTTGCACCTTTGGCTGGACAAAGTGGAGGACTTGGCCGTCCGCCTTGAACAGGTTCACTTCTTCGACACCTGGGATGGGAGTCACACCCAACTTCTTCAACGCCGCGTTCAACTTCTTGTCGTCGCCCGGTTGGACCTTGTGGGCAGCCTTGTGCTTTCGTCGCACGGATCCTTTGCCACCGGTGCGCACGTCGCCAAACTTGGCGGCGAGGCGTTCACGCGCAAGAGCAATTTCATCAGCCATTTCTACAACACGCCACTCCTGTGTCATGCATCCAAGTTCCATCGAGCGACGGCATGTACCTAACAAGCAAGCAAACCAGGCTTTTGCAATGGTCAATCCATGCCATTTCACGCCACCGCCCTTGTCCACCAACCAACGCGCAGGTCCTGCAAAGTTCGATCCACTCGCTAAACGACGCTTTGCCCCCGCCAGTCATATTGCGTCGCCTGGAGAACCGTCAAACCGTCGACTCGAGAATCTATACAATTCAAAAGATGATTTTATTCGTGCGGTCGAATAAAAAAAACGGCATACTTGCCTCAGCCAATCAATGGTCGCCAATCAACAGCCACCGACGACGACACGGCGATCGCCGCGACGGGATCGATGGAGGCCCGACGTGTGCGGACAGCATGTGCTATAGAATACGCTACAGCATGTGGCTGTGGACAGGTGTACCCGCGAGGAGAATGCCTGGTGCACGATCCTGACGTTGCGCGGGCAACAGGGAATGTGATGGAGGATGGTGTGTGTAGCACGCGACGACAAGAGCGCGGGGTAGACTTGCTTCACATTGGGTGGATTACTTTTCCAGGACGGCCGGGGATTGCGGGACGACTTCCGGCTCGGGTTCGTCGCCGAGTAAGGTCAAAATCGGGCAGATTTGGATATTCATTTCCTTTGTCACTGTGACGATCGAGTTCTTCGGCACCTGCGATCCCTCACCGTCATGAGGGGTCTCCACGACTGTTGTCATCGACCACGCACCTCGAGCCAGTCGCTTGGTTCGTTGGACAAGCGCTCGGATGCCATCACAAACACCTTTTCTTCCTTGTTGTGCTGCACGATCGCCCCATCAGAGCGTTCTGGGAGTGTACAAAACGTACCCGCTGCATGATGTACTCCTTTGGCCGCTCCACACTTTGGATCCATCTCGATCCCGACGAAAAGTACAGCGACGCCGCGGCGGACGAAGACACGTTTACATACCGAGTCCTACAGCATCGCCACAAGGAGCCGTCCATTGTTCAGTCGACGTCGGTCATGAGAGGAATGCCAGATCGCCATGAACGACCTTCGACCAAGATGGCAGACTTACGCAATGAGGGTGTCGCCGTCTGTGACGGCAAAGTTGAGCAATGATGGCTCAGTGATCCCAGCGGCACTACGTCGACCGCATGAGTCCATGGAGTGAACAGATCGATCGTACTGGCAGAGCATGTTCAAAGTCCGAATCGTCTTGCCCATGGCATGGCGCATGTCCTTGCCGCTAAACTCTTGGTCGAGGGACCCAAGTTCTTCCAGATGCGTGAGAAACAGGGCAAAGCTACGCCGAGATGTTACAACTTTGGAGGGATGTGGGCATGCTACGATCACGTCACTCGAGAATGGCTCACCAGTGCTCGGAATCGGTGCTCCCTCGAATCATGCTGTACGCTACGTCGCTGAGGCGGTCGACCAGCTTGCGCTTGATTTTGTAAAACTCGGACACGCCCCTGGCCGCACGCATGACGTGAGGAACGATCGCGTGGGAGGAAGGCCAACCCGTTGTGCATGAACAAATACTTGTCAAACGTAAAGGGATGGCAGTTGGTTTCGGACGTGAGGGACCCGATCGACGCGGCGCGGACATGCGCGAAGAAGAGCGGTGAGCTACGGCAGGCAATTTCAGCGGTGAGCTACGGCAGGCAATAGCACGTCTCGGAGGACGAACGATTACCTGACTTTGTCAGCAAGCTGGACAAGGTTTCGGTTGTTCCATGCAGGGGAAATGCTCGTGAACACGCAAGGCGTTTCGTACTCCTTATTGCGGGGGACGACGACGCCGTCGAACGAGCGGGATACGCGACGTTTGGGACTGTAAAGCAACTCGTCGCGAGCCTTGGCACTGTACAGCTTTTCAGCATACCACCCGATGCCAAAACCGTCTGCGTTCAGTTGCGGTGGCAGGCCAGTGTTGTGAAAACGTTCGTGACAATCGTAGCTCTGGTGGATGATGCTGTGCTTTGGCTTCACGATGAGGTCCGCGAGGAGTATGGACTGGTCAAGCCCAAGGCCTTTGTACACGGTCATGCGGCACATGTCACTTATCTTGGCAGGTCAGTCGCACAGGATAAGCGCGGCAACGACGGCGGCAGCCCGACTGTGACAATGTAACTCCTCGCTCGACTAACCACGTCAGCGGGTGCGCCTGCTCTGACTGGTGCAATTCTTTATGACGTGATAAAATTTCAGTTTACTGGACATTTGTATTGGTTGATAAAAAGAACCAAGACGTCGAATTCTATTTTTCATGCGCGCATCCTTGTTCTTTTTTAAAGAAGCACTTGAATAGAGTATACCAGCTCGATTCAAAAATTAAAACATAACAAGAGTGTTGGTAGTAGTGCTGTCCTAGCAGATTAAAAGAAGGATAAAGTGCCACTCTGGGATTTCTTTACCCAGGTTCGACCTAACAAGAATGTTGGTCGTTGCCGCCCCTATGTTCCAGCACCCAATCGCGTGGGTGCGGCCGCCGTCAGTCCAGCCCCATGAGAAAGTGATGTCGGTGCGGCCTTGACAGGCGTCTGGGCAGCCACCTTGTGATACACGCCGCGGCGCTTGCAGTCGTCGAGGAGCTCTGCCCAAGCGGGGCTTTCCTGGAGCAAGTTGGAGTTGCCAACAACCCAGCAGCTCGAGATGGCGCGTGTAAGGGACACGTTCATCCGACGAACGTCGCCCCAAAAGCTATTGTCTCCGCCGCGTAGAGTGCGCACACACGACACAATGATGATTTCCTGTCAACACACGTCGATGAGCCTCACGTTGGTTACGCATGTATCTGCAGACCTTTTCACGTCCTTGGAACCCGTCGACCGTGTTCACTTCGATCTTGGCTTTGGACAACTTGGCCTCATCCAGCGCTTCCTTGATCGCTTCGATCTGACTTTTGTACGGCGAGATGATCCCGATCTTGTTTTTGAAATCGTACGGAATCTTCAGCAGCGCCTTCAACCGCGTCGCGATAAACGACACTTCCGGGACGTTGCGGTACGACGTCTCCACGCGCGACTGAGCGCCGTCCATGACGTCGTAAAACATGTACGGCGGAAACCCCGCCGTGTGGTACACCGTGTCGGGAGGGTGGTGGTGCACGTTGACCAGGTCGTTAGAGTAAAACATCCGCGACGGCAACGACGCAATGTCGGGGTGCATGCGATACTGCTCTCGCAGCATGATCACGTCGTTCGCACGATTGTTGACAAGACGTTGGAACAAACTGTGGTCGTAGTCCATGCGCGAGAGCCGCTACGATACAGAACCTGCATGAGCCATCGAAGGATGGCAGCACGTCGACAAAGGCTCAGCTAGAACGCGTCACAATGCATCCCGCCACGGCGGGGAAATATCGACGTACTGTCGACAGAATCGTGGCGGGCAGTTGCTTGTGGTCCCCGACCAAGATATATCTTTGCGCGCAGAATCGCAAGGGAATCAAGCTGCTTGCTTCGGTGGCCTACGAAATGGTTTCATGGTCAAATGCCAGTAGCACTGCTGTCACCGCAGATAAAGGAGACAAGCGCATGGAACAACCAGTGGAGCGAGTCGTTACCTGAGCAGCTTCGTCGACAATGACCGCGTCAAAATGACTGCGCTTCGGGTTCCACATACTCCACGACCCTGCGCCGCTGAGCGTGCAAAACACCACTTGCGCGCCATCGAGCAGACGTTCTCGAGCTTCTTGGGAGCTCCAATCGTTGCCAACGAGCTTCTTGGATTTATCGAACTCGATGAGATTTTCGAGCCACACGAGGGACGACGACGTCGGCTGCCCGAGGCGCACCATCGCTAAGTCGGGGTACTGGGCTTGGATTTTGTGAAGAATGACGTTCACGGCGGCGTTGGAAGGCGCCGTCACGAGCAACCGAATGTCAGGCTGGGTATTGACACCGAGCGCTGCGCCGACCGAGATCTTGGCGCGGCGACTGGACGGCTGAAGCAGCAGCGCTCTACGGAGGATAGCATAGCATTCGACTTCTCCACTCGAAACCAGGAATATCATTGAAACGTACTGGATAATACCAAGAATGGTGTGAGTCTTGCCAGTCCCTGGGGGCCCTTGGATCAACGTCATGGGCTGGTGAATCGCCATTTGAATGGCTTTGAACTGATGGTCGTTGAAATGTTTTCGTAGCGACGGGATTAGCGACGGCGGGACCATCCCAAGCGATGTTGACGTCGGGATGACAGCACTGGTAAGGATCGATTGCAGCGACGCCGGCCATGACGGCAGAGATAGGGCCGCCTGGTACTCCCGCGACCCGGTTGTGAGGTTCCCAATGAGGTAGATGTCGTACGAAAGAAGTGTGTCAATCGAATGCGCTGTTGAGACGAGTACGACAATGTCCTCTTGAGTGAGGGAAGTGGACATGGCAATGCCTGGAATACCCGCGTTCGAGTTGTAGCTTTCACTCGACATCCGACTCGACTTTGGGCGGAGCAACAGCACGTCATGGGATTGCAGCAGCGTCGGCGTCGACACGGACGGGCTTTTCGATTTGGATTTGTTGGGTTTGGGCAGGCGAAAGAGCACGGATTGAAGTAACGCGTTGTACGGCGACACAGCGACAATCGACGCGGTGGTCAAACGAGATTGCTTGTTGGACTTGCTATCAAATGCACACAACGATTCCTCGACGATTGCTTGTTGCAGCCCGCTCATGTAATGGGCCACGGACGAATACGTCTTGGGAAAGACAAAATGGTCAGGGAGGAGGCGCGGCCGCGACGGACTCACGAGCATCGCGATGAATTTGTCCAAGCTGGGCCAGAGTGGGCCGCGGTGGGGCGATGCCAAGGTGTTGCCGCCCGCGTTCGACAAGGTCGGTCGACGAGACAGAATGGGTTGTCGTGCCGGGGCTTCGTCGTCCGAACTGCTGGACGAATCATCATCCGATGACGCCTTGGCGGCGCTGGTCTGGCCCACGGGGGTCGTGTGCCACACTGATACTCGCCTCTTGTGCGCTGGTTTCCCAGACGACGAGTCTGATGATGAGTCGGACGACGAGACTTCGATGACAGCTTCGACGTCATTTGACGTGACTTTTTGAACAGGTGGGTTGTTGTCGGCGCAGCTGTTAGAAACAACCATGATGGCGGTGGTATGGAGCGCATGGGACAATGGCGATGGGACATGTTGTGGTTGGCACGGTGGGGCTGCGGGTGACGCCAGCTCCACTGGACCAGGGTTGGAAGGTATCGTTGGTAAAGCGTTGGGCGGAGAGGTGGATTGTCCAAGGAACGCGGCAGGAGTTGCATTCGCCGCGCCTCTCACTGGCGAGTCGTGAGACTGTTCAAGTTTAACGATGCCGTTGTCGTTGTCAGAGACAGATATTCCCATGTGATTGTGTGACGTGTGAATGTTACTGAGGACATCCAGGCGTCGCATGCAAAGTCTTGAAGGATCGGCGGAGGCCGACAGAGGACTCTTCGCATCTCGGGGAGACGAATTTGCCGAAACAGACGGAGACGTGACCAGTTTCGGAGGTGACTTTCGTTGGGCCGGTGTTTGGCTTCGAGGAGTCGAAGTCAGGAAATGCACCCGAGTAGCAATGGCAGGACGTGCAATGTCGTCGTCGGAGCTGTCCCCTGAATACGTCGAAGGGTCGTGAGGTGGCCTGGTCGGCTTTGCATACGAAGGAGGTGCACGGATTGTCGGAGCTGCAGGTGAGATGACCGTCGGTTCAACGTCAAATTTGTCAGCATCATTAGTGGATGCAATAGGAGGAGGCTCAACCTTAGGAAGACTGGAGGTTGAATTCTGAGCATACTGGGAAGGGACGGGGTTCGAGTACGACAAAGCGCCAGTCGTATCGCCGTCATCTGTATCGGTATCGGAAGCATGGTGCTGCGTGTGCGCAGGTCGGGGCGGCGGTGCCTTGACTTTCAGTGGTTTGCACTCATCGTCGCTGGAACTGCTCATGCGAATGATTCGTTTGCGCTTCTTTTTCGCCACAAGAGAAGCTTCGTCCAAAGATCTGCATTCTTGTTTCACAGCCAGATCCTCCGTCTTGATGAGTAGGCTTGGCACGGACGGACCTGCGGCTTGCTCAGGTTCGGATTCTGTTTCTTCGCTGTCGATAACAATGCGTTTTCGGATGCCTGCGCGAATGCGTTTCTTGAGTTTCTCCATCGCGACGTCAACACAATTGAATTCGCTTCGTTCTGGAGGTGAGCTGGCAGTGGGCAGCACATATTCTGCGTCAACGTTCGCGCGCAAACTTTGTACCGCGACAGACACCACTTGAATCTTGCGGCGAATAGATTGCGGAAGCGACGCATTGTCTACATGCACCTTCAAGCGAGCAACGCATTCTTCCACATCGGCCAACGCGCTCGGTAGATCGTCTTGTGCAGGTCGCGAGGACGCCGCTTGCGCGAGCGTGAGACCACGATCGAGTTGGCGGTGCATGTGCCAAAATGATCAACACTTGTTCAAGGTTAATACATCCGGATATAGTATCCGGAAATGAACAGTGGTGGCGAGCTAGGTGTCGCGACTTCGCGCTCTTTTTTAAACGAGGCCAGTCCTTAGCATGATGCAAGATCCGCTGCTTGAAGCATGAAGCAAGAACGTCCACAATGAATCGTATGGCTTCTGCATGGCGAAGGAGAGTACAAGCGTATCATGCAGAAGGGCTGTCCCACGACGTTGATGAGGAGTTCCAAAACACCCTAGGCGCCTATTTTTGGCTCCTACCTCAATCCATGGTGCTGCGAGGCGGCAACCAGGTCGCGGCAGCTGCGCTGTTCCTCTTTTCTGAAGAATTCTCGCGACCAACAACTGCATCCACGTCCCCTACACCGTTGACGAGGAAGAAGGGCAAAGGGAAGCGCAAGCAGAAACCACCGGAAACCGGTGTTTCCACCCCGAAAGAGCCAAGGCCCGAGAAGGTGCACCACTCATGCAGCATAACATGGATATTGATGATATGAGGTAGAACGAGCAATATGCTGACCAACTTACGGGATTGATGGGCAAAGAACGCCAGCGATTGGCGCAACAAGTGATGATTGCTGCGGAGAAGGGCAACAAGAAAGCCATTTACCTTCTTCTTCATCAGCGCATGCTCACTCCTTCTCATTGCATTGGCTTGGTGAGTTCGCCATTCCACATGTCAAATATTGTAAACGACTCGTGCAGAAAGGGTTTTCACCGCTGCATCATGCATCCTCCCGCGGTCACTTGGACATAGCGCAGATGCTGCTGTCGTTTGGATGGCCAATTGACCGCGCAAACGATGTAAGTGATTCATTCGTTTTTCATCCAGCGTCTTCTTCACGACGCGACTTTAGATGGGAGAAACGGCGTTGCATCTGGCGTGCTATGGTGGCCATGCCCATTTGGTTGAGTTTTTCCTTGATAAGGGTGCGCATATCGATGCGATAAACAAGGTAGGATTGGATTTGCTTCAAAGTTGTATAAATATTACGGTGTCGGCGGCTTCACAGGACGCTGAAACTCCACTGTTCTACGCCGCACGGAAAGGTCACTTTCGGGTTGTGCGGGTCTTGCTTCGCCGGGATGCAAACGTGAACCATCGTAATCGGTTTGACGATCTTCCAGAAGACGAAGCATCCAACGATGCCACCAGGCTGGAGTTCACCTCATGTATGCTTGCAACAATTGATGTCACCAGGACCAAAGGTTCTCTTGGTCTTCTAGCCAAAGGAGAGATCTCTCGTACAGTGCATCGTACGACAGGTTTGACCCTCACACATTGGGAAGGATCCAAGCGCTTACTTCGTATAACGTAGATGGCGACGCCGCCCTTCGTTCCATTCACCGCGAAACTATTCTCTCCTTCCTTGACACAAAGTACACCCCGCCGCATCAATCCGACATATTCCGGGGTTGAATTGAAATAAAACCGTGTAGGTCGCTGGGCATGGCCATGCAAGTTTGTTTCCGGTGGAATCGAGCAGCAGACACACCTCGCTTATGGAAGAGTCTCGGGGTCTCACGATGGGAACTTAGTTTGAACAAAAGCGTCGGGTTGGGCGTCGTCGCACCCATGACAGGGTATCGCCCGACGCCTCGACGGCGTCCTTCCACCACGAGTAGCACCTCGCCTGAAGGCATCCTGAACGCGACGGGGCATCTGGGGTACCATCGCGCGACCCCGTCAAAGCTGCAACTACAGCACCAACATCCGCAGAATTGGCGGCGATCTGGCCAAGACGACAAGACGTCGCTGCCGCCGCGGCCCCAGACTGCTATGCGCCTTGTGCAATACCGATGAACATGGACTACCTCAACTCAGTAACATAAAAAGCAGCGTGTTTCTTTAAATATGAGAAAAGTAAATATTTACACGCAATGAACGAATGCGGTGGTGGTGGTGGCGGCAGGAATTCGCGCATAAATATCATTGAATCGGTAAAGCGTGCGAGGGCGCATGATCTTGTGTCGCGGAGAGTGCGACCGGGTTGCCGGCGGCGACGACGATGACGCAGCCTCTTCGTTCAGGAGAAGGGCCAAGACGAACTTGGCGTACTGCAACACGGTCTCCATGGAAGGCCGCGCGCGCGGGTCAACATGGAACATTTGTTCGAGCAGCGGAACAACAGCGTTAGGAATCAAAGCTGCCCACTGTGGCGTGTTCTGGAGAATGCCGCGGAAACCTTGTTGGACGAGGACCAGGTACACTGGGTCGTTCACCACCGATTCGTCCAGCATAAAGTCTCCGGTGAGCATGGCAAAGAAAGTCATTGCGAGCGCCCACACATCTGCGGCTGCGGGGTCCCAAGGCAGCCCAGTAAACGATTCCGGCGCCATGTAGTTGCGTTTTCCACCGGCCCAGTTTGTCGGGACTTGCAATGGCATTGCAGCGCCAAAATCCATGAGTTGAATTTGCATATCGCGGCCGAGAAGGACGTTTTCCAACGACAAGTCACCGTGCGCGTACCCCAGTTGATGGAGTGCCGCAACGGCGGACGCGAGTTGTTCGAAGTACACGAGCGACATGTGCGTGCCGATACGTTTGTTCGCAAGGACGAGATCAAACAAATCTCCATTCGGGCAATACTCGAGGACGAGGCAAACATGGGAGTCGTCATCGTGAAAGCATTCAAGAAGGGGCAAGATGTTGGGGTGTCCGCCCGCGGCTTGAAGCATGTGATAGATCGTGCACTCGACGTCAACGTCGACGGGTGTGGTTTTGTTTCGTTTGAGCACGACGTTCATGTCTGTGCATACGTCGCGGCAGAGCACTACGTCCGGCGCAAGGAGCGGCCGCACGGGCATGTATCGACGCGTCGCCATCTTTCGGGGATTCGGAAAATGATACCAAGAACAATCATCGCATTCGCAACAAAAACTAACGTTGGAACTGGCCATTTGGTGAGAGTTTTTTGTTGCAATCATTTTTCGGTCAATATCTTGCCTTTTCCTTCCGCTGGGGCCTCCACGCACTCTCCACAGAGTCATCATGCATCCCATGCTGGTGGACGTCCTCATTCGCCCATGCTCTCGAGGAGCCCATCTTTGAACGGCGCTCTTTGTTCCTGGGTGTTGGACCATGTCGCTTCTGCGCTTCGCGCTACTGTACCCAGACGCGAGACGCAGCACGTGAAAAAAAACCTGCGAAAAATCTTAAGACATTTTTCGGGATCTATTTCTGGATCCAACCGCTATCGGACGACCAAATTGGCCCATGATGTGTGAAACCACTACTGCCATGCAACAATCCGCCTGTGACATAGAGACAATTCTGGGTTGAGCACAGCTGCAGGTGCTCGGGAGAGATAGCTGTCGACAGGATCGGACGAGCTGGCCATTCATACGCCACTGGCGGCCGGTGGGTGTGGCGTGAGAGGACCAACTATACTCCAGATACTACGCAAGTTCAATCAAGGTCGAGGCCTGCTGGGTCGTCGAATCACTCACGTCCCACACGTGTAATGACTCGTTGAAACGGAGCAAGCAAGCCCCAAGGAATAGCCAGGATGAAGTAACGAGCAACGACGATGCTGGCCGTCACGGCATGTCGACAGAGTAGCGTCCCACCCGAGTCAAGTCAACATTCGCCTCGCCAACACAATGCATTCGCTGGGAATGCTTCACCTGGTCAAGGCAGAGTTCAGTTTGGCAGGCAGTTGAGTCGGCCACACATCGGAAGCACGTTCAGTCTGTGAAAAGAGACACCGTATAAGCGTTCACGACGTTGTGCCAAACGACACAAACACGGGAGCACGATGCAGCGTCGGGTCATTCCAGAAATCCCGTCCTGTTCGACGGGCTCGAAGCCATCTCGCCTGCTCCTGATCTCGTACGGTGACGATCGAGCGCGGACCAATCAATGAGCGATATTTAAGAAACTGACCAATCAGATTGCGTGTCCCCAGAAAGGTCAGGTCGGTGTAACGGTGAAGTAACCGAACGGGCGAGAAAAAGTCGAGAAAAACCTCGAAAAAAACGTTCTGGGATCGATCGAATGAAGGCCACATCATCCTTGAATCATGCAGTTTAACGCCAACGCATTGGACCTACACGACAGAGACGTGGATCTACAGCAGCCGCGAATCCATCAGCCAGCCACACCCTCCATCGAACGGCATGACGACCCAACAGATCGTCATCTCTGCTTGCAGGGATCATTGCTGTACACGTTCGAATGATGCACATCCTTGCTGCAGTAGTCCATAGCAGCAGGGATTTCTCCCTTGTTGAGAACGGCGGCATTCCTGATGTCGTGCATGGGATGGATGCATGGTGTGACTGCATGTGAGAGATTCCCAAGCAATGCCTCGACAGGGCCAACCGCACGTTGTATCCAACTTCGCATCTGTATTTTTGTTCCTACTTCTTGGCCGCCCGACGATCGGCACGCGTGGTGGCATGAAAACCCGATCGGATGACGGCGACGGAGCGGCTCGATTCGCATTCTTGGCAGTTGACGAAATGCAATCGCGTAACGTTGTCGCGGGTCAAGGTCGTGTTGGGCGAGCGGCACATTTGGCACGTCACGTACTCAGTGATGTACTTGCGCAGCAGCGACTCAATGTACTTGGGCACGTATCGGCCGCGGATGATCAGGCGCTGCGTCCCGTCCAAGTTACCGTCCGTCCCCAATTCGGACAGCGTGAATTGCAGCACGTGATCAGGATTGCGGTGCATCATCTTGCAGATTTCCTGGAAATTGACCCACAACGTCTTCTTCGTGCCGACACGCATGAGCTGCGGCGGCTTGATAATCGCTTTCTTGCGGTCCGCCAAATCCGGGTTGTTCTCGTGCAGTTTGTTCATGATGCGATCCAGCATTTCTTCGTACGTGTACGTGCAGGTCGTGCTGGCAACGGCTTCACCAGAATCTTTCTTGTCCGTACTAGTAGCAGCAGATGCATCGGCAGCGGCCGCATCATCGTCGTTGGCAGCGTCCCCAGCATCGTCTTTGGTTTTCTACTCGACATACATCAACGTGCTTACAATGTTTGCAAACAAGATCGTTTGACGCACCTTCTTCGTGGTCTTCTTTCTCTTCTTCTTCAAGTCAAACATGGCAGCGACATCTTCAGGGGCGGGCGGCGCCGCAACTTCTTCGGCATGTCCGGGAACGGGCAGGTTGTCCGCCATTGTCCTTGTTGGTTGTATTGTGTTTGGGCCACTCGATTAATGTCGTGAAATTTTAAACCTGCATCACGCAATTTAAATAAATAAACGAACCAAACACAGACTATTAATCATCATCATGAAAATGAATTATAATAAACCGAAAATCACCTCCCTCGTCCCAAAAAAATTCTTGAGGCGTCGTCGTCCTGATTGGTCAAGTTGCCACAGCGCCAAGGACCGTCGTCAAGATGGACGCCGAACTGAAGGCGCTCGAGGCCGACTTGACGCGCGTCCAGAAGGCGAAGGCTATGGCACTAGCGCAGATTGACATCCTCATGATGGAACAAAAGGCTCTCCAGGCGAAGCTGGATGCGGATCGCCTACAGCGACTTCGCGCCGAGGAACGTGACGCTAGAATCAAGGCTGCAATGGCTGTCGCCGTCCCAATGCCCATTACCGTTGTGTCAAACGAGGCGGCCTCCCCTCCAAAAGTCGACGACGTCCTTCAAGACTATGTCGGGGACCATGAAATTGGAGACTACTGATAGCGACACACCCGTTCTTGTGGTGTGGCTGCACCAAGCGACATCCATTCAGGTGCAGCATCTCGCGACACCCACTATCGCATTGCACGGCACCAGTAACAAGGCCCATCGTGATCGATCTCCGTGCTGCTGTGGCGTCACCCGTAAAGCCCCTAATCCGCGCACCATGCCATGGTGATGTTGTAGGTGGCGCTACTTTTCTCGATATGCATCTCAGGCTAGATAACATCGTCCCTATAAATGACCAACGCCGCTGCGCAATCTTTCTTATCCATAAAGCTCTGCCTCCATCTGCGCGTTTCGCGGGGCCTCGCGAGCGGCGGCTACATGCCGCCGCTCGGACCCGTTCTCCGTGGGAAATATCTTTAACCGGATCGTCCGTCTTTATCCGGATTTTTCAAATGGCCGAGACCGATTGGTGCTCACGACTGGTCGATGCAAAATTGAACAACCTGGCCAAGGAGGATGGCGACGACGACGGCGTTCGCCAAGGCCAAGGTAAGAAGCCTCAAAGTCTGGATGCAGTTGTGTGCTCATGCAGCAGGACTCTGCTCTACGTAGCTGGTGATGAGCTGCAGCTTGGCGCCGTACCATATCCAGAACGCGAAGAAGGGGCTGGAAGACCAGTTGAACCTCATGCTGATGAAGTACTGCGATCCTGTGCAAGGCGTGCTCTTGGCATTTAACTCGCTGCAAGTGATCAATCCATATGGCCACATTATCAATGAAACGCCATACATCCACGTGCGCATCGCGGCGGACGCGCTCGTGTTTCGCCCGACTCCAGGCATGCAATTGACAGGGACCGTGAGCAAGGTCGGGAGCAACCACATTGGTCTGCTATTGGCAGGAGTGTTCAACGTGTCGATCGCCGCCACGGAAATGCCATCTGGCTTCGTCCACAACTACCACGAAGACGCATGGATTGGCCAGGATTCGAGCGCGATTGCCGTTGACGACTCGGTCGAGTTCCGCGTGGTCAAGTACGTTCTCGCTTGGTTCCTACTTATTCTTGACTTGGATGCTGCTGCCATTGTAGAGTACACGTGGCCCACGGGGTGATCTCGATCGATGGTTCCATGCGATCGCTTCAGCCGGTGGCAGATGCGGTCAAGTCACCAAAGAAAGCGTCATCGAGCAAGAAAACCGCCAAGGTCCCCAAGAGAAAGCATGTTGCGTTCGAAGACGACGTCGTGGAAGCCCCTGTACAAAAGAAGAAGTCGAAGAAGCAGAAAGTCGATGACGACGACGTCGTGCCCGTTGTCGCCACAAAGAAGGCGAAGAAGGCCGAGGTCGACGAAGCCAACGAAGAACTCATTTTGCCTGTCAAAAAGGCCAAAAAGGCCAAGAAACACCACTGATATACGCCGAATGCACACACTGTTCCCTCGCCTGTCCTTGAAATCTCATGGCTTTGTCGCCCTTGTCGTCACAACTGGAAAGGCACCACACGCTAGCGTCAAATGTGCCAGTCGATCACGCAAATAGAGCTAGCTCACCGGCGCCCACGAGTGGATGCAGCGATGAACCAAGCCAAGGACACTCGCGTCGTCCACTCAATGGTGATGACGACAATTCGCAGTATCTGGCTGCTCCTTTTATCTTGGAACCGAATTGTGTGCTCGTTGTTACAGCAACATTGGAAGCGGCGCACCACTGCATTGGTCTGTGAACTCGACGTAACGATGGAAAGGATGCGATCTGCCAGTTGTACCTCTGCCCGGCGGAATGAGGCCAACTGCCATGTCCGCACCACCGGGCCAACGGGTTTGTCGTCGATGCGCCATGTCCTGTTCAGTTGGGCACATGCGGTTGAGTGTGAAAGGGCACGTTCCTTGGTTCACCCAGCCGAGTTGGCTGCAAGACGCAGTCGTGTGCCTCGTACATGGCTACATGGGCCAAGTTGCCGCCCGATGGTATCTCGTGCCGCGTGGATTCATCGTGTTTTGGACGATGTGGGACTCGCTGGAAGATGCGCAAGGTGTGTATGACATCGACATGAATACTGTCGAGAGTTTTCCCGTCACCAAGATGCGCGAGGGCGGCGTGTTTGCGCACGACGAGCGGGCGCACGTCGAAAGCCAGATCTGCAGACACATCCTCCACCTCCGCGCCGTGACGACAAACCAGGCCGATCGTTCGTTTCTGTGCGTGTTTACGCACATCAGCTACGATGTTGTGGACGCGGCGGGCCGCCGGTTTCCATTTGCCATGCTGTACTCGGAGGGGAGCGAGGACGAAGCCACGGGGTTCTATGCGGTCGTGAGGCATCGCGACACACACGACGTGGTCGCGACGTGCTGCGGCGACGGCAATGTCGGCCACACGTTCATTCAGTGGCACGATGCGTCGCTCACGCACATGTACGTGCCACACGAAGGCGGGGGATTTCTCCCCACGATGTCGCGCAATTGCATCGTTCGAACCAAATCGATGGACTGCCACCGAGGATGGAGCTTGCTCATGGAATATTTGAACTCGACCGACAGTCGCCGCGGCCTCTACTTTAGCCACACGCGCCACGAACTCGAGAGGCTCGTGCCGGTGGCAGCCAAGCTTGCCCATCCGTCCAAGTGGTGCTTATTTCCCCAACCAGTGCCTCGATCGCTCGTCGTGGACGTTGCCGCCATGTACGTGAAGGGCCTTGACGTGTGGACGCCAGGAAGAGAGAATGTCCCGATGGTTGTGTGGCAGGTCATCGCATCGTTCATCGGAGAGCTCGTGTTCTGGGACCACACGTGCAGGGCACTGGACCAGCTCTAGGTGCCACACTCCGTCGAAAAAATCCCTCCTCTGTCAATCGTCGCTAGCGACAAGCTCTTGACCATGGTATAACCCTTGGAACCGAGTGGGCTCGCAACAAAATGTCTCGTACGCGTTGTTGCAGCTTACTCGACGAATGACTTTCTTTATAGAGTACTGGCATTCCTTTCAATTCGATTCCAACGAGACTAGCGACGCGACCTTTGGATCCACACCATGGACGCGTTCGCGATCGTCGAGGACGCGCCAATGCGGTGATGGCGTCTGGCGCAGCCATTTGAAGTCATGCACTTGGGCCCACAGCCCCGTGTCCGTGGCCAAATCTGCAGAGTCCAGTTGCGCGGCAAGGCCGTCGTACTGGAGGGCGTAGCTCGTAAACCCGAGGGTCGCGCAATCCTCGATGATCGGGTGGCTCTTGACGCGGAGGTAGAATGACGACGACGTTGTGTGGTGTACACGCAACTGGCGACACGCAACAACAAACGTGCAGTTGCTGCAGTTTTCTAGCCACAACGATCCGTGGATCGGGCCCGTGTAAATGGTGCAATGCGACAGTTCGGTGCCACGGACGGCCGACGTCGGCACTCGGATCACGACAATGCAGTGGGAAAGACGAGCAAGACTCAAGTCGGGGCTGTCAGCCGCCGTGATGTGCAGGACCGCATGGGCCTGGTCAGCGTACTCCAGTTCGTGGTCATGCGCTGGATTCGAAGGTGCAAACGGCACAAGAGGCTGTGGTGGTGGAGGTAGTGGGATGCCACCAGCCGTCTTCAGCTTTGCCCGTGCCTTGAACGTGAATTTCTTCCGCGGGGCAAGAGCCGTTCGCTTGGCTTCGATGGCTTGCATGAGGCGTTGGGTCAGTGCTTGCGTTGCCCGAATGTCGTAAGGGGGGAGGTACAGTGTTGCGGCAGCAGCGAGATCACGCAGCGCGTGCGTGTGCGTGCACAAAGCGTCGAGGGCGGAACTGACATTTGTCGATGAACCTTCGATAGTGTCGAGTGTACGCCATACGTTGGCCTCTTTCTCGCTGAATTCGGACCAGAACGCATCGACTGCTTCCGCTCGTGAAGTGCCCGACGTAGTCGACACCTGTGCTTTCTGCCGCTGACTTGTTTGTTCACGTTGGGCAGCTCGTGCGTCCTCGACAAGTCGGACTTTTTCCTCCAGTGATACGTCGTCATGGACGACCAGGAAGGGTGGAAATTCCCCAGACACGTTGACACTGTCTGGCCGCACAAACACGCCGTGTAGCGGCTTGCAATCAAAGTACCGCTGTGATCCTTGGGACCCATCATTCTTGCCAAAGGGCATGTCCAATCGGACGCCTACCCATTCACCAGGCGGAATGCCTTGGACGGCCCCAATGTAAGCGATCTCGCCGCGGCGCTTACCGCTGATTTCGCATCGTTGGCCGACTTGTAGATCCATCTTTGGCCGTTTGGTGGAAACAGAAAAAACTGAAATGATTGGCTTGTTATAGACCAATCATTATTGATTTGATTTGTGATTGGCTTAATTTACAAGCTTTTACTTGTCGTTTGAATATAGGATTGGCCCATGTATCATATATTTGACCAATTAAACTTTACAATTGAACAAGAAACGTTGTGGACATTTCCTTGTGATGGCTGCGCAAGCCTTTCGGTCGTTGGCGCGGCAGCGGCGTTCCCTGTACAAGTTCCAGAACAAAGACATTCCGAAGGACATCCTCAAGGACATCCTCCTCACGACGCAGGTACATCCCTCAAGCCTTGCATGACAGTCTCACTGTGTGCGCTCTTCAGCGCGCACCGAGCGGGTTCAATCTCCAACCATACGCATGCATGTTGGTGCAAGATCCCACGGATCGAAACGCGTTGAGTGCCGCTATGCTCGGAGACAATGTGCGCAAGGTGAAGGAAGCACCGCTCATCGCCGTCTTTGCCGCCGACCTGGGTATGGCCAGCACTGTTGGTTTGTGGTAGGGATGATGAGATGATAGAACCGAGCAAGCGGGTGCCTGCAATCCAAGAAATGATGGCCACAGCGGGCCAGTCGACCGCGGACATTCAACAACTCCCCCTGAAGCTCCGTTTCTTTGGCGGCGAAGGCCACCTGGCAGGCGTCATTCGCAGCGGCATTTCGACGGCGCTCACGCCCTTTCAACCTGTCCCGACGTACGTGCCGACGATAGCATGGTCGTACAAGTCGACCATGCTGGCCGTGAGTCAATACATTTTAGCGGCGGAATCCCACGGCATTGGTACACTTCATTTCTCATGGGACTTTGCACTCACATGCCCTGTCGCAGGGAGCTGCGTCATGGAAGGATTTGACGAGACGTGGGTGCGCCACGCGCTCGACATACCCGATCGGTACTCCGTGCCGGTTGTGGTTGCCTCTGGCTATGCCGCCGCCGAAAACTCGCAGCCGCCATCGCCGCGACTCGACCCATCCCAAGTTTTTTTCGGGGCCAAGTTTGGGGCGCCCACCTCCATCTTTGACGAAGAATAACAGGGCGTTGTCGCGAGCGAAACATCGTGTTGAGATTGTTGCGCTTCGTCCTCAAAAACGTGCAAAGTTCGATCCGTCATATTTAGAGGACATGCCATGAGTCCGATAGAATCCATCGACATCCCGGTGGTGGACGGATGGTCCGCTTGACAACTTTTCGTGTGCCGAGCTCATTTTTTCATCCCTGTTACATGCACTTTCGATACGCTTACGTCGCACCCGTGGGGAATGGCCAGGTTTGAAGCGTCACATTCCGTCTACAGGTTCCGAGCGCGACGGACTTCCATGCCGTTTTGCACACGTTTGCCATTGCGTCTGGAGATGGTGTGCCGAGCGACTCTGAAAACCACCGGAGCATCCAACGATGCACGCGTCGACATAGACGCTCCACGACTCCAACGACGGCGTGGCGTATCTATCCACGTGGCATGGAGCGCAAGGGATGCAGCCCACGGACCAGCTTCCCTCCACGTGGATGGAGGTCTTGCGTCGAGTGCAGTTTATTCCACTTGCCAATGTGTTGATAACGTCGAGTTGGGTGGAACGAAATTCGAGTACACGTTGGATACAAAATCGAGAAATCCTGTGTTGCGTCCTCTCCTACGATCGATTTTTACTCCATGACTTCTTCCTGGGGGCGCCGCGGCCGATCGTGATGTGCCGTTCCAAGCCCTGCCCGACGCTCTCGTGGGAAAGACCAAGGCGCTCGGCGCAGTCGTGGGCCAGCAACCGCTCGTAGCTGTTGAGGGATGGGCTCAGGTGCAAAGTGTCCGTGCTTGAGGACGCCGCATACTCCTCGATCTTCTTGACGAGGCTGTGCGAGCTGTCGGCCGAGACGGCGGCCGCCTTCTTGGCAGGCGGCTGCTGTTTGACTGCGCCATCGTCGTTTGAAAGCGCGGTTTTGGGGACTGTCGGCTTCACGGAAACATTGGCAGCCTCGACGTCATCCGATGAATCATCGCTGTCGCTGGAAAGAGCAGTCTTGGGGGCAGGCACAGCCTTCTTGACCGGCACCACGGGCTTCTCATCGTCGAAATCGCTCTCGTCTTCGCTCGACAGGTCGGTCACCTTTGTCGACGGCATTGCCGTGGTTTTCGCAGCAGGGTTCGCTTCGACTTCGCTCTCGTCGGAGCTCGAGTCGGAGGTGAGTTCCAACTTGGGGGTGTGCACAGAAGTTTTCTTCACTGACGCCGCTGCGGCCGGCTTTTGTACTTTCGCCGGGGGTTCGTCGCTGTCATCACTCGAGTCGTTCGGGAGTTCAGTCTTGGGGTAAGCGCGAACGTTGCTGGTCGGGTGCTGGGTCTTGGTAGGTGAGGTGGCTCGAACGGACGGCTTCGCCGATGCCGACGGCGCGGCGGTGGTGTTCATAGCAACGGCTGCAGAGGTTTGGACCTTCAAAGCTTCGCGACGATGCGTGCGGAACACCTTGAACTCGTGGACGGACCAGCTGCATTTACTGCAGTAGTCGACGTCGCACTGCACGCAATGGACAGTGGCGGCCGCCCCGCGGCATTCACCGCACGGAGCGGCCTCTTCGACTTGCGGCACCGCGGCGCGAACATGTTTGGACATGATGCGGGATGCATGCAGGGAAGCGTCGCAGGCGGCACATAGACCAGCCTCGCATTGCGCACACGTGATAGTGGCCGTGGCCTTTGTGCATTCCCCGCAAGTGGCTGCAGGCGACTTGTTTTCAGACGATGACGTGGCGGGTTGGGTTTTCGAGAACTCTGACGTTATACCGGTCTTTGCTTTCTTGGTGGGAGGAGGCGACATTGCAGCAACGGAAGTCTCTGCAGCCTGACTGTCTTCCGACGGGCGCTTGGCGGCGACAGCAGTCGTTGGGTCGTGACTGAACCTGCACACACGCTGGGAATGAAGCAACACAACCGAGGGTGGCAGCATTACCAGCACTTGTCGCCTTTGCGGCAGCCCTTGGCCAAGTTTTTGCACAAAACGTTCAATCGACCTTTGAGCGCCGTGTCAGGGTCGTGGCTGAACCTACGGCCACGCACAGTCGAATGAAGGGAGGCCAATATCGATGCAAGACGTACCGGCACTTGTCGCCGTAGCTGCAGTTCCCTCCCAGTGCGATTCGATGGCAGAGCGTTTGCGACTTGTTGGCCACGTCAGACTTGGTGGCACTCGGCACAGCATTGGCGGGGTCGTGCGAGTAGATGCACTCGTCCATGCGAGTGCATACGCCACCGAACTCGACCGTTGGGCACAGCTTACGTGTGTGGAGGTACCTGTGGCATGGTGACAAATGCACGACAGTAGTGTTTACGTGTCGAACTACGTACGTGCAGGCGTCGCCTTTGCTGCAGCGGCCTTTTCGGAAATGATAGCACGTTTTCGTAAAGGCTTTGTTGGCGTCGGTGGCTGAAGCCGTCGTAGTCTCAGGCGCCGCGGCAGCAGCGACAGGTGTGGCCTTTGCGATGGATTTGGTCGGTTTGGCCGTTGTGGCTGGCGACGGAGCTGCTGGTGCTGTGCCACGCTTCACCGACGGCACAGGCTCGGACGTGAGCGCGACGAAGATGCGTTGGCCGCCAACCACAGCGTTGTTCATGGACGTGACGGATGTCGTTGCAGACGTAGGCTTTTGAAACTCAATCGCCCTATGCCAAAGATCAGGTTGTTCGTCACGTCAGAGCGCCACGTACGCAACCCCGTTCGCGACGTGGAGGAGGTTGATTTTGCCAAACTTCTTGAAGAGAGGCCGGAGGCTCTCCTTGCCCATATCATGGGGGAGGTTCTTGATCGCAATATTGCACCCAGGCGTGACCGACATGGCAGGCGAGCAATCGAGTGTGCGGCGTATCTATGCAATGGGACAGCGTGCCTGTTGGTTGGCGCTGCTGTGGCAGGCTCGGACATAAAATGGCTCAACGTAATGGCTATCGCTTTGTCTTGCATAATGTATGCTGGGTTGACGAAAATAATATTATTGACCGATACACCATGTAATTTGATGAAATTCGGACGAATCTGGACGTTGATTCGTCGGCTTTATCGCCGAATTGATTGGATGAATTTGTCAACTCATTTCATATGATTGGACAAAAAGATCGTTCCACCCGCCGCCTGTCATTCGAGTCGAATTCTTGGACATCGCGCCTCGTTCCCCGCTCGGCATCATGCTCCCTCGACATGTGCAACGCAAGCTCCGCTCGTCCATCTGCACCCCGATGCACACCCGCTCAATGGCTTATTGGTCCGAAGAGGACAAGGCCGAACGTGCCCAACGCGCCCGAGAGCTGCAGGACGTTGTGATCGTAGGAGGTGGCATTGTTGGCAGCGCACTCGCGTGCAACCTCAAGTCGAACCCTGTCTTCCACGGCAAGAAGGTCACCGTGATTGAGCCGTCGCCTCCTAACAAGTTAGATGATGCCAACGCACCGTTGGGTATCCCGGACGCTCGTGTGTACACGATCACACCGGCGTCGAAGAAGCTGTTTGAAGCGATTGGGGTCTGGGACAAGATCAAGCCCGAACATATTGCGCCGTTCGGCCACATGCAAGTGTGGGATGCCATGGGCGATGGATTCATCCGCTTCGATGCGGCCAAGGCCCAAGTCAAGAACGGTCGCGATCTCGGGTACGTCTTGGAACACGGCGTGTTGCAGCGGGCGTTGGCGCTTCGCATGGAAGAACTCGCGAGCCAGGACGACCCAAACCCGTTGCAAGTCCTGAGCCCTGCCGAGGTACACCTCGTTTCATTGTCCTCCAATGTACTGACCATTACGACTTCGCCAGGTGCGTAACTTTGAAGGCCCCGGTGAAGTCCAACGCGCCGGCATTGTGCATTTGGAAGACGGCAGGGAGATTCGCAGCCGTCTCGTCGTCGCCGCCGACGGCGGCAAGTCGATGGTACTTTTATGTTCATCTTTGCCTTGATTGGCTGAAATTCAATCGTTTGAACCAACCATCGGTCGTAGATCCGCAAATTGTCTGCTCTCGGCACATGGGGCTGGACGTACGACCAGCAAGCAGTGGTGGCGACCGTCAAGACGGACCAGATCAACACGACTGCGTGGCAACGCTTCCTTCCTTCGGGACCGATTGCGCTCTTGCCTTTGCGCGACGGGTACTCGTCGGTTGTGTGGAGCACGAACGAGAACCATGCGATTGAACTCAAGTCGATCTCGCCGGAAGAGTTTGTCGCTGAATTGAACGAAGCGCTGAACAAGCCTTCGGAGACCCCGTCGCCTCCGCAAATCCCTATCCTCGGCAACCTCTTCCAAGGCATTCACTTGGCCGCGCAAACGGTCTTGGCCGCTGGTGCCCTTGCCGATCCATTCCAATCGCCGCCGAAGGCCACCGAAGCGGTCGGTCGCCGCGTGTCGTTCCCGCTCAAGCTCCAGCATGCGACTCGGTATGCCGGAGACCCCTCGTGTGAGATGACCCCAGATGGTTTGTCGTAGGTACTCCAAGTATGGCGTGGCGTTGATCGGTGATTCCGCGCACTCGATTCACCCCTTGGCTGGCCAGGTTCGTACTTTGTTCACGATATATGTCGCAATCGTGGCCCGTAATGCGAGGCATGACGTAGGGGTTGAACTTGGGTTTGGCGGACGTGACGTCGCTTGGCAACCTCTTGTCGCAAGGCGTCCAAGCTGGCGTCCACTTGGGCGACGAGCAGTTCTTGCAAAACTACGACAATGACCGAAAGAAGGCCAACATCTCGATGGCATTGGCCATGGACGGCTTCAAGAACTTGTTTGGCCCTGCCCCTGACGCCGTCCTAGTCGCACGCAACGTCGGCATGTCTTCGTTGAACGCCGTTGACCCAGTCAAGGTAAGCCAATTTATGGACAATGCTGTCGTGGCTCTTACATCCATTTGTCTCGCAGACGCAAATCATGAAGTACGCCATGGGCTTGTAATAGATGCATAGATGACGACAATGATGTGACATCATTCGATCTCTTCATGTCTTGAGGCAGCGAGGGCATTCGGCTCTTCCAGTACCTCATTCATATCTCCTGCACAGTTAATCCACCTTCCCATGTGCATACACGCGGCGCCTTGGACATCGCGACTCTGCTTCCCCCCCATCCTGACTTGATGTGGCTGATGCTGCAACTTTCCCGCGTTATTTCGGTTATCCGGATGATTCGAATCAGGAAATTATACAGAATCCAACCATCCATGGAGTGAAATGAAACGTTCGAACAAAAAATACTCCGGATAATCCTTACCTGAACAATCTTGGCGGTCACGATGCGAGGCGTAGCACGATGGCTGCAGATGCGCGACGACGACGACGACGACGGGGACGACGAGCAAGTGGAAGATATTGAATCTGAAGAAGATGATGGCGAATTCGTGGATGGTGTCACGTTGAGGAAGGACGCAACAAAGAAGGGAAAAACAGAGGCAGCGGCACTTACGTCGAAAAAGGCACGGCAGAAGAAAGGACAGGATGGTGACAAAGGACAGCTTCGCATGAGTTCCTTCGTCAAGAAGGCGTCGTCACCATGTCTGAGCCATTCATCGCCTGGTGCTCATTCCCCACATCCCAAGGATCACGAATGTTCGAACGGAGCAAATGCGACTGTCGTCTCCATTCATGACGACTCGAGCAACATTTCCATCACTGACGGATCCCCAGTACAGGAAGAAAAATCCGGCGTTATCGATGCCACTGAAAAATGCTTCATTGAGGTTCTTCAACACCAGCGCGACGACACTAGAGCTGCCCTGCCTGGATCAGACAAAGATGATACTTCGGTGAAAAGCAACGATGTCGACGAAGCTGCGGTGTCGCCATTAGATCGGGTTGACGACAGTGGCGCCGTGGTTAAGCTGAAGAGTGCAAGCAAGCGGAAACCGTGGACAGATGTCGATTCCCGAGATGTCAAAACTAGGGAAGCGAACGAAACTCCTTTGAAAAAGCAGTGCGTAATGGCTGACGCGGATGCGAGTAAATCGACCGAAGAAATTACTGGCGTCACACCGAATGTACAACTGGCCCCGGCTTGTAACACCGCCATAGATGCGGCGCCCAAGATGATGGCGATGGGCCGGCCGAAGCGGAAGGCTGTCATGGATGCCGCGGCCAAAGTTGTGCAGAATGTTGAGATTGTCGATGCGACGGTAGCTCGGAGGGCCCCCATTCGATTGAAGACGTTGCGAAGGGCCAATGCGAACTCGAACGACTGCATTTTTGTGAACCCACCTCCTCTATCAAAAACACCGGCCACCCCGATCAAGGAAACCGACGACTGCGTCCTTGTCGATCCTCCTGCATCTTCCAATGTATTTGGCAAAACACCCAAGAAAGCTGCGTCCACGTCGCTGTTCTTCCTCACGACAGAGCAGCGGGACGTCGCCAAACGCCAGGAAGCTGCTCTCTTGGAAGAGCAGAGGCAAATCGAAGCCATGCTCAAGTTTCAAAAAGACTTGGATCGACGTAAGGCCCTTGACGTCTCGTTTTTTGCAGGACGGAAGGTCAACCCGTTCTTTCAGCCGCAAAAGCCCCACCACATGGTCACGATCCTGGACGACGACGATTCCACGATCATACGGGACACCAATGCACCTCCTTCGACATCGGGTATTTTTTGGAAGAAGGAATCGGCAGCGTTGTTCCCCGCGCTCTCCCATGTGAATGCATTGCCACCCTTGGTACCGACCATTATCATCAATGGATCGAAGCCACGTCGGGCTAAGCTTGACCCGATCGTCACGCTGGACGACGACGAAGACAGTGCCAGAGCACATATCTGGCCACAACTGCGTCATCACCAACACGTCCGTTTGCAACTTCAAGCGCCTCTGGACGACATCTTTTGGTGCGTGGTGCCTGCCACACCTCCTACCGGACAAATCGATGATATCACGACGACACCGCAGTATCTCCACTGGCATGAATTCTTTCAGCAATTACCCCGAGGCGATGCGTCGTTGCTTGTGGACAAGTACGCCCCTCGGTCGTCCCAAGGCGTCGTTGGAAATAAACATAGCGTCAAGTGGCTCTGCGAATGGCTTCGGGCGTGGAAGATTTTCCGCGACGGCAAATCGTTGCGGCGTGTATGTGAGCAATACCACGATTTATTTGCTGCCAAGACGGGTGCAGATGGCACGTACTTGTCGGACGACGACGACGACCCAAGTGACGAGCTCCATCGCGTGTTTGTGCTGCAAGGCGAATCCGGCACAGGCAAAACGTGTTGTGTGTACGCGTGTGCGCAAGAGTTTGGCTACGAAGTGCTCGAGATCAATGCGGGCCAACCTCGGTCAGGGAAACACTTGGTCGAGCTGGCTGGGGAAGCGACACAGTCGAGGCGCGTCGTGCAAACTGTGCACCTTTTGGACGCCCCCGTGGCGAAATCTGCGACGAAAAAGCACAAAAAAGGCAAGAAGAAGCGAGAGGACGTGCCGCTCTCGACAACGTCCCAAACACTTGTTCTGCTGGAAGACGTTCGTACAACAATCTGGTCCAGGTGGAAGAAGGACGGCAATTTGTCATCGATGTATTTTTTAGGTGGATCTGTTGTTCGAAGCTGACAAGGGCTTCATGACCGCTCTTAACCAAATCGCCAAGCACGCAAGATGTCCCATTGTCCTCACGTGCAAAGGTATGGTGAAGGCATCCCCCCGCTCTGACGGAACTCTCTCTACTGCTGGACTTGGTGTTTGACATGGCTTTGGATGGATAGACATGCCAGACAACTTTCCGCCGTCGTTGGGCCACGTCAAGCGCACATTTTCGCGGCCGTCGCAGATTGAATTTCAAGCGTATCTTACTGCAGTCGTGCGAAATCAGCCATCTCTGGTGACACCGGGTGAAATTGCCATCGACAGGCTCTTTCACGTGTGCGACGGCGACATACGACGAGCTTTGCATCTGCTTCAAGTCCATGGCAGAGGCACCGGCCACACCCCAACTGCTGTCCCAGTACGCTGGACGTGTGCAGCACTGGTACCACCGATCGATGCTGCAATTACGTTGGCGGCGTCGGCTGCAAGCCACGACAAGGACCTGTTGAGCAGCGCGTACCTCGAGGAACTCGTTTCTCATTTTCCGCATGACAAGGACAAGAAAATCGAGCAGTTGGCAGAATTCTTGCGACTGGACGCGATCGCGGACAGTCTGTCATTGTGCGATGTGTGGTCGACCACCACAACACGATTCTCGGCGCAATCGTTCGAAGTAGGCGAATTCGGTTCCATGCGTATGGCTCAGCGTATCGATAGGACGGCCAAGACTGCTCCAACCATATCGTGCACTCGGAATTTCTGCACGAGAACCTACAAGACGTGACCAGCAGCGTTCGGCTGCAGGCTTGCCACGTCACGTTCCACGGCCGCGCAAAGTCGGCCACAACGGACGCCACTTGTATTCAATATGCGATGGACTCCCATCTGCGCCACCGAAAAATGTACGACATGCCATGCTCATGAAACCTATATGGTTGACCAGCAAGGGAATAGTGGAAACCGGCGGCGCATGATGGCGCAATGCATCAGGAACTTGGACGCGACTCTCGCTCCTATCAAGGGGTACGTCAACGCACGACGAATGTGTGCTGACCCATCGCGCACAGAACGACCGTGGCATTGCAAGGCCAGGGCGCAGTCGTTGACACGATCCCGATGATGAGCAAGTTGGCGTCCGTGGATGCGTCCACCCATCAACACAAGCGGAGATCCTCGAAGTACGTTGAATCTTTCGATGGAGCAATGGATATGACACCTGTGGAGTAGTCGCCATGGCTACTTGAACAAGATCTTGTCGGACGTCCAAGTTGTGGCGTCGATCGAGTCGTGCACGCGCTTTGGTCCGGCACTGACTTGACAGAACTTTAGACTTGATTACCCTCCAAGTACAGACTCCCTCTCCTACGATTGTGTGGTGGTGGCCTTGGCATGGCGCATGCTCTTCTTTGTTGGTGCCAACCCCTGCATTTTGGCCTTCATTACGGCCGCCAACTTGGCTTCGAACTCGGTGTGTTCGAACGACGTCACCTACATACATCGATCGCACTTGATGAGCGATACAAGAGAGAGGAAATGCTTGTACCGCCGTCGAGATCTTGATCTTGTGCTTGTTGTTGCCATTCTTGACTGCCCGAATGAGCCATACGTTCGGCCCAGCTTCCACGGCATGCGCGCGAAGCAACTTGCCAACTTTCTCGGACGGAACTGCACAAAGTTCGTTTATCATAAGCATGCAGCATGGCATGAGACGAAGAAATCACATACTGCTCTTTGTGTTCACTGTCACGGAAGGATTAGCGCCATGGATCTCTTGCGCGAAGAGCGCCTTGAACTTCGGGATGAACTCCGCCGCCGTCACAAGCACCATCTTGAATTCGTTGTGTCACCCCCTTTCACAGGTTTTCCGGATAAACGTATCCGAATGACGATCGATAAACGTCGAGACGAGCGTTAACGCAGCGGCATGCCAGTGGCGAAGGATGCACCTCAACTAACTTGTACATCGGCCCCCCATCGCGCGATGTGTTGGTCGAGATGGTAGCATAACTCCCGTGGGAAAGTGTTGAAAACGAACCGAAAGACGGCCCATCTACTTTACAGTTGGATCCATCCACTGGAATGATGCGCGGGGGCAGGTAGACCGGGACGCAACCATCAGGAACTTCCGACGAGGTTGTCGTCGTTTAGGGAGATCATTGCACCGTGAGCTTTAAACGCACGAATGTCGTCGCTTACAATGGCGCGGACGACGGAGGTATCGTCGCGACCTTAAGGGACATACTACATAGTCGCATCCGGTTCCGAACGCGGCTCGGCGACGCGTAGTTCACTCGCGAGCTTGGGCATTTTGGTCATTCTTCATTGCGAAATGCAGACTGGTCACCGTCACTCCACACTCTGCCATGTTGAAGAAAATAATGCTACGCGTGTTCACCTCTGTTACGTGTTCGAAGAATCGTGCAGCAAAGAGATTTGCGCGGTCCCATGCGGCCAGGTCGGGCTGGAAGAGAGAACGTTCGACTGGGACTTGGTAATTGACGGGGAGGTCGGAGAGATCGATTTCGCATGGGACGTGATGGGGGCATTTTGCCACATGAGTCATTGTCCTTCCTTGGAGACGAAGGCGTCGCCTTGATCACCTGGCGTCTGCTTTCCCAGCTCTTCGTGGCACTTACGGTGGACGACAACGGACGCGTCTGCTCCGAAGAAAGCTCTTTATCTAGCGCATGCTTCGAGTGATGTACTGTGATGCTGCCATGCTGGCATGACCAGCGTGTATGTGTGGAGGTCTCCATAATCCCCGACCGCTTTACCATGGCCCACGTCGCCATCCTTTCTGTCAGCGCCGCTCGCGCGTTCGCTGTAAAAGGTACCACGCGGCGGTACGCTGCGACGACGCAGTTGTGGAATCGACGGAGACATCGCACAGGTATTATAGAGCGACATTTGAAGACAAGATCGAGGTTCTCATTGCGTCCTCCCCGCGCGCTCTACACTTCAAGGAATGGCGTGGTGATGTCCTTGACCATTCAACACCCAGTGGTCCTGAACCGCGTGTCGGGGCCGAGCCCGATTTTCCGTCTGAGGGGTTGACGCGCCATGCGCTCCCAGCAGCGTGAGTCGAACACACAGGCTTCAACTTTTCGGCGACATATCGCGGTGGTTTTTGCCTGTGGACGGTCGAGCCGTCCCGTCGATGGAAGTCCGAGGAAACCTCGTTAGTAGTCGAATATCTCGATGGGGACATGCGGTGGCGGAATTCGTTTTGATTTCTTGGTGGGTGGGTTCGACTTGTCCGTTGTCGATTGTTTTCCCACCGCCGCGTCTGCTTTCTTCGTACGTTTCTTGGACGTGGCGGCGACGGGCGCCTTCTTCGGCTCTTGGACGTAGCACACGACGGCCGCAATGCGTGCCGCATTCAGCCGCTCGAGCCAGACGATCTGAGTGTCGGACAACCGGTCCCTCGGTCCTTTCACCTCTACAAACTGCGCTTCGACTGTTTGCTCCAACATGGCGTCCATCGGCGCTTCGTCGCTTCCAGCGGCACACCACGCAGCAATATCGACGCACTTCATATCGCCATCCACGAGTTCCATCGCGTAATCTGGCCCGGTTGCACCTTGCCACTTCACCCGGAGCATGAACAGATCCGGCAAGCCGCTCGTTTCCAAGTGCTTGACTGCAGGATGGATGCACAACGACGTCGTCTTAGCTCCGACCTACGCAGTCGAACGTACCCCACACGTCGATCAAGTCTGCGAGCGCGCGACCGCCCATGCCGACCGCCATGAGTTGCATATACTTGAGCGAAAACCCTTCCCAGTTAACCAACGCGCATTGCGTGCCCTGCTCAGCGAGTTGTTCAGACATGTCGCATTCAGTGGCGCGATGCATACTTCATGTGCGCTCCACGTTGCTGCCAATCGAGCACACAAATCTTTCCGCGAGGCCAGTCGCAAGGTGTGAAGGACATCGTCGATGGCCGCCGCTCGAGCGTTGTAAAACGTGTCGGCATACCTTGCGTCCAAGTCTAACGGACGGCTCTAGCCACCAAAGCAAAACGGTCGCCACGTCATTTCAAAGCAGACTGCCTTGAGCACCTGGAATGGCGTCTGGAATACGTCAGGGATGCTCTCCATAAAGATCACGTCCCACAGCAACAGCCCAAGCAACGTCCGAAACTGGGACCCTTCGTGGTGCGTGCCGTGCCAGCCTAGGCATGTCGAGCAAGTCATGCGATGCTCCGCCACACTCGGTACTGCTCCCAAACAACTCGAAACACAAACTCGTACAACTCACCGTCCAATTTGTAGTGCTGCAGCACGAGTTCCTCCACGGAGCACCCTTCGTCGTCGTACCCAATGAAGCGCGATTTCTCACCCGTCGCTCGATTCAAAGGTCGACCGTTGATCGTGTGCGTCGGAAACTGCGCTGTAACTTCGTTTTCCGTGGCCACCGCTGCCTTCGTCAAGCGAAGATGTCTTCGAACCAGGTCTTTGCGGTCCGCTGGGGACACGTGGCAGTCAGCAAGGGCCTGTTCACACACGGCGCGCGCTTCGTGCGGCTGCTTCATGTGGAGCTCGAGATTGATCGCCAGGCGCGTGTACCATGACCCGCTACAACCACCCGTTTCCAACGTGCACAAACGCAAGGGACCTCACCGTTTGTGTCGCAGCACTTGGGTGGCCAGGAGCTCTTGCAGCAGGATCAGCGCCTTGTCGTACTGCCCCAGCTTTTCGTACAGCGCAATCGCTTTGTCGAGGCATCGGGCGAGGCCATACGTGGCGTGATACGGCTCCAGGAACACCCGGTCGTGAGCGCGTGAGCTTCGAATGGCCGTCGCCAAGCAGGTCCGAATTTCACTCACGAAAGCGTCCAGGTTTGGCACGGCGCTCAAGAAAATCTACAGGTCGTCCCATTCGTGTCGGAGGTCTTTCGATCGAGAGAACTGACTCGACGCATTTGGCTCGTCGATTCCTCAGCCCGAAACATGAAACACCTACGTGGACGCTGGCGTAGCATGCGAGCTTGTGGAAGGGCGCGTCGTCCAAAGCAAACGCGAGAACGGACGGTGGTCGAATGTCGAGCCACTCGAGGGACAATTCGGCTTGCCCGTGTGGCACCAAATCGTCGAGACCCACGCCTTCCACGACGAGCGCCATGGCATGCCGCAGCATCGCGGCGCATTCAAACGTGACCAAAGCAGCCATGTTGGGAAAAATAGTGCAAGTTCTGGCGAATTTGACAGGTTGGAAAGTTGCCAGCTTGCCGAATCGGACGAGAAGGCCGGGCCAAGCCGTCGGGTTGTACTGCGTCGCGGAGCACTGCCAGTCACTCCACGCGGCAAATTTCGCAGGTTTCTGGCTTGGTGGCACGGAGAGCGTCATGTACATAAGCTGGTGCATGCGATAGAATGTATCGCGGGTCTCGGGGTGGATTTGAAACAGAGTCAGTGGGGGAGAGTGCCTCTCGGACGATCGCGCGGGGCTGTTCACGACCGCGTGCAGCTATCACAACGCGGATGAGAGTTGCTTTTCCACCGCGAGGGACTCGCCATACGTGCTTTGCCAAAGGATGAAAGGACCCGTCGAGGCGACGCTGGGTTGTCACGAAATTTCGAACCCGGTCCAGCATCTCGGTCTACACGACAGCAACACTGGCAGTATCAACACCACGCGTGCCATGAGAATACAAGGCAGGAAGGAACTTGACGCTGACCTTTGTTTTGTACCGCACATCCGATTTCGACTTGGACGCGCCGATGGCGACCATGACTAGTTGGATCTCCGGAATCGTGCATGCGCACTTCATCGCGTCAAGGGCGTCCACGTACGAATCTTTCGGGCAAGGCCGAATGAACTTTGCACACTCGAGGGCGCGGATTGCTATCTGGATGGATGGCTCGGACAAGTCGGGGTTCGGGTCGAGGCGTTCTGCGATCACGTTAAGAGAAGACAACCGGAACCACGGCCCTTTGCGCTGGAAGAGGCGTGCGTACACAAGTTGCGCCACTGGTGGGAGTGCAAGAAATGTGTCGATCGCATCGTGCTCATCTTGCGTGAGAAGGTTGGGGAAGATATCTTTCTACATCACGACTCACTCAAAGCCAGGATCGCGCATGTCTAGTTGTCATTGTACTGTGGATTGCACGATGTGAACAAAATGGTCCACGTAAGCATTGCCGTGCTCTTCCTTGATCCCATCTTCGACTCCACCTTCCGTAGATACGTCGACCTCGTCCGGCGCGCTTGCAACAGCATCGCCCATGGAGATCTTGACTCTTGGACTTTTTCGATTTCGTGAGTGCGTTTTAGGTATAATTCACTAAAACGCCCCGATGAACAGGCTAAATAGTTTGATTGGCCACTGATTCCGGCGCCAACTGCGTGTCGACCGACGCGGCGCCACGGCAAGGACCAACTCAAGTCGGACGGCGCTTGGTGAGGACGGGATGCTGTGCACGCAAGAGTAAGGACCGTACGGGTTCTTCTAGGAATCACCCAGCGTCGAAGGCGTGCGCGCGATGAATTGTGGAGCAGTATAATCCCTCCACAGCGCGCCGGTTTTATTCCACATGGATTGTGTGTGCCTGGAGCCTACTTGAACCACCTCCCAGTGCCCACAACGTCAAACGAAGTGCGCACGTCAGTCCACGGTTGTGGTGTGGTGATCGCGTCTGGCAAATGCCCCGGATCCACTCGCCCTCCACGGGTTGTCAATCGAGGGCACACACCATGATGCACGAATCCCTGCGCGAATTTCCTCGTAGTCCCCAAGCTGCATCGCCTACAATACCCCATCTCCACTGGCGTTGTTTGCGCGCTCTCACGCCGAAACGAGTGGCCGATGACATCGCTCGTGTAATGTGTCGTCGGTTCCTTGTCACGGCAGTCCCTTCACCTTTGGTTTACTAAAGATCAAGTGTCGCACCGTTAAAAACACGTTTCAAACACAACTCCAAGGGTTTTCCGCGGAACTTCCCATATATTTGAAAGCAGTTTACGCATCCCTTCCTGTGCGAAATCCTGTTTTAAACCTGTTGCCCCTCCCACGACCACAGGTTTATCATCCCATGTATCTTGTGAATACGCAGCCCTCCATTTTACAACATCTGTCGTCGTCCATGCTTGTATCACTTTTCAATCTACTTTCTTTTTCTATACCATGTCATCCCGCCTACCCCTCCAAATGAATGGTGTGGCTGTTGAAAGATGTGCCTCGCGCATAGGGTTAAAATCGATGTTGACGGATTTGATTGGTGGAATCGAAATAACCGACACCGCACGTGAAGATCACCCTTTGGCCATTCCTGGATTTGATCCCAAAAGGCAAGATGGTTGCTGTTGCTGGAGGTGATGGCGATGCCGCGAGCGGTGCCAAGATCTTTAAGACCAAGTGCGCGCAATGCCACACGGTCGCCGCGGGTGAAGCCCACAAGCAAGGCCCTAACCTCCACGGTTTGATGAACCGTCAATCCGGCCAAGCCGAAAACTACTCGTACTCGGCTGCCAACAAGAACTCGGGTGTCGTGTGGACGGACGAAACCTTGTTCGAATACCTTCTTGCCCCCAAGAAGTACATCAAGGGTACCAAGATGGTGTTTGCCGGCTTGAAGAAGCCCTCCGAACGACGAGACTTGATTGCGTACTTGATGGAATCCACCAAGTAAGCTATCAACCAAGCCGTATAGATTACCTTTTGGGAAAGAATACGATTATATATACTCTCCTGCTGTCGTGTCCTGTTTGTTCCCTGCGATCGTGTGAGAGTCGACGTCTTATACGATGAGGGCAAGCGATGCTGCAACACTCGCGTTTCTCTGTGCATACCGCTTTGTCTTAGTTGGCCTCGAAAGCGACTGCATACCTCGACAAAGACGCAATAGCTGCACATGCTCTGAATCCATTCTGTGTCGGCGGGTGGCATGGCGTACAGACCATCCGCCCAAAGCCGTGGTCGGTCTCTGGCATTGCTTGTGCGTGCACGTCAAATTTGGCGTCGACGAATCCATTGACAAATTTTCTTGTGGGTCCCCCCATTTTTCAGCTGATAAATCGGACCGAATGGGTCCCAGCATTTCGATTGGGGATGTGGAATCCTGAGCGAAGAGCGCGACGAAGGAGGCGCCAGGTGCAACAAGAAATCGAGGGTGACGATGCACATGATGAACAGATTATAAGTGGAATTTTCGGCGGGAAGTGTCCATCGCGTGCTGCTTGTGGATCCATTCGTACTCGCCAAACTTGGTGTCGAACGTCCCTTCCTGCAACCACCGCAGCTTGAGCGTGAATTTAGGCCCGATCTCTTGCAGCCGAGCTTTCTTGCCATTTTCAAACACATAACGATGCTGCCGCACAAATATGTAGTCGCGCTGGTTGTGGAACGTCACAACCTGGCGACCGATAAAGTCAGGCTTGTGCTCGAAAAATGACCCGAGGAAGCGCCCGATGCGATGGCCCAAACGAGTGTTGAAGTTGTTCAAGATAACTTCTGGCTGATGGCTGGTTTTGCGCGCATGGTTCACGATCTTGTCCATGAGGACGACGTTGGAAACCTTGAAAAACGCTGTCGGCCCATGTGGCAGCCGGCTGATCACCAATCTACAGCACATGAGCTTTTCAATTGCGGCAAGAGGGCAGCATCGGGCATGCCAACGTACCCGTTGACCACTTTTTCCTTTTCGGACAGAATCCCGACGTGGGTGAACTCTTTGTTCCCTGCAAACTTGCAAATGTCTTTGATATCGTACGTGCCACGCTTGTAGTAGAACGAGTTGGGCACAAACTCCATCAAATTTTGCACGAACGGGTACATGTCCGCCGACGGAAACGGCCGCGTCGTCCACATGATCTTCGGAGTTTCCTCGGCGGCAAAGATTGATGCGAATTCGTCGTCGTGGTCGTCTCCCACGATTTCTTCGTCGTCGGCTGAGATCATCGTTACTTCCGCCTCACGCGCGTTATCAATCGTGCGAGGTTCGAGCTTTGCAGGTGCCTTGTCACCAAGCTCCTCGGCCTCCCTCTTGCGAGCCGCGCGCTTCTCTTCCTTGATCGCTCGCTTCTCTTTCTTGTACTCCACCATCACTTGTTGACGCTTCATCTTGTTCTTGATCGCAGATGGGTTCTTGCGCAGCGTTTTCGGTGCTACGACCGCGATTTCTTCTTCACCCTTGCGCTTGCTGCCTGACTTGGCAGCCCCGACGTTGTTTCCACGACCGCCCTTACCACCTTTTCCGCCTCCGTCGCGTCCCATCGTCGAGTTGGCTCTGTGAATATGCTTGTTGCTCCAACCAATTCGGTGAATGTTCAAATTGCAATGGGACATTTGATTGGCTCGAAAATAATTTTATTTTGGCCAATGAAATCACAACAATACAATGCGACCACACATGCCGTGGAATCGCGGCACCCTCACGCGTTCTCGCCGTCGCGCGTGAGAAGGTCTTTGTACAGATGCGGGCGGCGGTCGCGAAGAAGTCCCCAGCTTGCACGGCGAATGTGGAACTTTCCCAAGGGGAGCGTATCAACCAACACGCCTTCCGAGTCGCGGTCAGCAATCTTCAACTGCACCAAACAAGCATGCCGAGGTGAGATCCATGTGAAACGATGAATCAAGCGACATACCAGCTCGCCAGTGTTCCCTGTGATGAACGATGAGCCACAGAACGTCACTTGGACGCCATCGCTTTCCTCGGTTCCCACGCTAGTACCCACGATATATTCAGTGGTGTCGACCATGGACACAACACAAATGCTGCTTACCGGTTCGAGACGACGATCGGAATCATACTGGCGGCGGCATGGCCTTGCATGACACGATGCCATTGATCACGGGGGTCGTATTGCACATCCTACCACACGTTTCAGTACCTTTGACACCATGACGCTATGGGACGGACATATTGGTTGCTTCCCAAAGCACTCGGGTAAAAGATGATTTCCGCGCCCTTAATGGCGAGTAGTCGAGCGTATTCGGGATACCACTGGTCCGACCCAATGCCAACGCCGATCGTTGCATACCGCTAGGGACACAACCATCAAGTTAGGTTTTTCCATGTCACTTGGCATCTCGATAGGCCCACCGTGCGGAAGACGGGGACAGCGTCGTCGCTCGGCGTGAAGTAATACTTGTCATTGTACCCCAATCGATCTGTTCACGAGGTGAGGGATCCGTCATGGGGAAAGGCGACGATGCCTGCCTGAGATGTGGGCCTTACGGACGACCCCAAGGATCGATCCATCCGCATCGATCACCGCAACCGAGTTGTAATAGCTGTTTTTGTATCGCTCAAAGAACGAAACGGGCAGCACGACATTCAATTCTTTCGCGAGTGATTGCATGCCGCGGAGTATGCCCGACGACTCGAGGGTTTCGGCCAGATGAAAGTTTTGGCTCGAGAGTTCGATGGGGAAGTACGTGTGCTGGAACAACTCTTGCAAGAGTACAATCTGAGCCCCACGTTGATGGGCAATTCGAATCAACGTTTCCGCCTTCTTGATGTTGGCCTCGGGGGCAGCGCACGCCATTTGGGTCGATCCCACCGTGACCGTCTACGCACACCAACGCCCGAGGATTACACCTTTCATTCAGACAAGTCTGCTTGTCGTACACGCTGATCGTAGCCGGACGAAGGTGCCGTTTGTATCGCGAGGCTCATCGGTATATTTGCGCTGAGAGCTTAATGCTCAACCCCACCTTGGCAATGGGACATGAATTATCAATTTAAGTGCGGCGTACTCTGCAATGGTCGTACCTAAACAGGTCATACCAACTTGTTATCCGGGCATGAGTAAGGGAATTATATGAGCAAGCTATTTCAGGATCACGTCGCTCAAGATAGTTTTTATCCGGATACTGCATATGAAGGACACGAGTGTGGGCGCTTCGCACACGACATTGCCCCGGTCTGTCGACATGTAGTATGCCAATTTCAAATTGCTGAAGTCTTGTCTGCGGGAGTTGAATTGAACCCTTGCCGGCATGTGATGCCCGTGTGCACATCAGCATGGTTGAGATATCCGGATATTGATATGAATCGTGTTGAGACCCTCAATTTGCTTATCTTTGCCATGTTTTTATTTTAATATCCATATCTTTATATGGGAACCGCATATTTTTAACCGAGACACAGATCGACGTGGATTGGTCGGTCCAAAGTAGTGGTGAGTGGCCCAACCATTGTTGAAGCCATGTTGCGCTCGTTGATCAGCCGCGTCGGCGCTTTGACCCTCCGCACGAGCGGTACCTCGGCCGCGTTTAGCTCGTCCGTCGGGGGCGAAAAGAAACGTGTGTTTGATTATGTCGCCCCCGCAGCGATCACGGAGAACGATTTGCGCTTGGGTTTTAAGCCGTCGCAAATTGAAAACGCTCCTGAGGAAGTGCGCCGCACGCTCAGCTTGGAAAACGCGTCGCAGGCAGAGTTGAACAAGATAGCGATCCAAAAGGCGATCGCAGCGTTCCAGCGCTTTCCCGGCGACACGGGCTCGTCCGAGGTCCAAATCGCGATTTTGACACAGAAGATCAAGCGTATGACCGAGCACTTCCGCGACCACAAGCACGACAACCACTCGCGACGTGGGCTGCAAACCATGATCAACAAGCGCAAGAAGCTTCTCCAATACCTCCGCCGAGAAAACCTTCAGCAATACCGCGCCGTCGTCGCCGCGTTGGGGCTTCGCTTCACTTAGATATATCCGATACCAGTAGTTCAACCCCAATCTCACTTTTGAGAAACCTCCATCTCTATTCTCTTCCCCGCGTTGTCCATCCAACATGCACATCGTATCGATCTGTTGGGAAGGACCATGAGCCCCTGACCCCATGCTCGACTTCAGCAGTCCAAGATGGTGGCATCATCCCTGGCAGCCCCACCATGACTGCTATCATCCTTACACGAGAACCTCATATAGGGGGGTCACTGGAAGCGGCAATTGACATATCGATGCTTCCGCTGTCCAGCGTATTCTCAAAGAATACACAGAGGACTCCCTCTCGCCCAGCTGCTATTATCGACGAAGCTGATAGACCGGCGACCTCGCAGCCGCCCATGCACTCTACTATCAACCGCGCATGCGTCGAGTCGTGGTCATGGAGTGAAGCGATGGGACTGGGACAACGCTGTTGGGTTAGCCCGTTGGTGACTCTACACCTCGATTCACTGTCGCGGTCCTCCCATCATTCATTCAAGGTGCGTCAGTCGTGGGCTTTCTCGTCGCAGCCGTCGCGATGTTGCTTGGGCTGATCTTCGTCGGGCTCCATGAGCAACGCTACGATATCCATGCACTCGGGGAGGGTGATGGCGGTGTCGTAGGACGCCCCGAGCTCGTGGAGCAGCGCTTCGACGCGAACGTGGTAGTTGGTCTCGTCGTGTTGGTCAACAACGTCCTGGAGAATCTGCACGATGTCAACACACCGAATGACGCCTCTGCGATGGTAATCGATCGCGTGAAACTCTTCCTGGACGCGGCGCTGCACCGCCTCCGACAGTGTGAACACAACGGACGAAGGCGCTGACGGCGATCGACTGTTGCGACGCACTTGCTCCTTGAGCCGAGCCTCGCGCAGTTGGAGAATCGTGTCGTTGAGCACGCTCTCGGGTGCGGCCAGCTCGAGCTACAACAACCCAGGCACAACTCAGCCATGAAAAAACGTCACCCCGATGACATGCCTCAGGCAACGTGAATGCCTCGGTCGTGGCAGCCGAGTCCCACTCGGTGTCACCGCTGTCATGGTAAGTCTATCCGGCCAGCCACGTCATTCCTGCTCGGAGAACGTGCCAAATCATCGTGTCGACGGCGTACCCCGCACTTGGCTGTGTCGTTTTGCCACTCAGCCTCGTACACCTTGCCCGTCGACTTGTAGTAGAACCGACCAGGGCCTTCTTTCTTGTCGTGGAGCCAGTACCCTTCGTATCGATTGCCGTTGGCTAGCCATCGGGAATGTCATCGTGACACGTTGTGGGCACGTCACTTGCGTCTACGTACGCATGCTCCACACGCCCATCCCGCTGCGCTCATTGTCAACCCAGTGGCCCTCGTACACCGATCCATCCGGGTAGGTCATTCGCCCCTTGCCCTGCCGCGCATTGCCAGCCCAGAACCCTTCAAACTTGCCCCCGTCTTCGTAGTAGAACACCCCCAATCCCTACTCCCATTACTTTGTGAGCGACGCCACGAGCTCCAGCTCCGTCAAGTGGCGTGTTCAACGAGTCGAAGTACCTCGCGTTTGTCGACCGCCCAGTCGCCCGTGTACTGCTTGCGCAGCTTGCCATTACGTTTCACCCAGAATATCCCTACGCGTCACGGCGATGAGGAAGTCGCAGTTGAGCTGAAACATGGCTCCTTCTCTGGTCGTTGTGACCTCCATATGTGCAAGTCGAACCTTTTCCATGGCGCAGACCGTCTTTCCACTCGCCTTCGTACTTGTTGCCGCTTGCGCACTGCTGTGTGCCGTACCCGCACTTCATGTCATTTTGCCAGTCGCCCGTGTACTTGGCGGCCTGGACAAACGTCGACTTGCCTAACTCGACGTGGCCGTACTTGTCTTCGTTGGACTCGGAGCTGTGCTTGACCCAATACACGGAGTGATGAGCGCCAGATTTGACGCTCCTGGCGTCCCACGTCTTCCACAGCGGATTCAACGATTCCTTCTTCACGTGAGAGCCAACTGGGGCTGACGGCGTCGCGGCTAGCAGCCGCGGTGACGGACGGCTCATTGTCGGAGATTCAACGAAATGACAGTTTCGTCCTGTGTATTTTTAGTACATTGATCATATTTTGCAGCTCATGGCGAGGGCCGTGGAGCTGCCGCGGTGAACTTGCCGTCAGCCGACTTGACCACGCCGTCGATGGTGTGCAGAAAACGTGTAACCGAGCGTATGGACGCAGCCAGCTTCTTCGTATTGCCCCTGTCGACTTGAAGTACGTTGTTCTGCTCGAGACACGTCAACACTTCGGTGCTCGTGACGCCAGTTCCGCGGTGATTCGTGACAAAGCCCAGCACGAGCGACACCACAGCCTCAGTTCGAGGAAACCGCGTCGGGTGGTTCACTCTATTTCCCGCGACTTGCCGCACACACACACTTTCTGTCGTGCGAAAGTCGCGCCAAACGGCTTGCACCACATGCCGATTCCGGCCGAGAAGGTTCGCCACACGGTTGCACACGTCCTTCTCTCCGTCCAGCGCCATGCGTGCGTACAGCATCAAAATATCCAGACGCTCTTCCTTTGTCAGGGCACGAGGTCGTTGCTTCTTCACGAATGCGACGACCCGCTCCAGCGCGGCGACGTTTGCCGGAGAGTCTCCCGTGTCCTGCGATGTCATTTTTGCCGTTGTGTGGAAATTGGATAATTTGATATTTGCTACTTCAATATATTTATTTGCTCGTCAAGTGAAACCGTCGCGGTGGCGTGACGGAAGAAGGAATTCCGCTGGAACTGCTGTCGCGCGCCACGTCGACGAAACAAGTCGTGGCCGAGGACTACGGGGCCATAGACAAGACATATCGTTTCCACGCTGCATGTGAGCATGCTCTGGAAGTCTCAATAGGACCTTGACCACCCATACATACGTCCATCCACGAATGCACACCTACGGCCGACTGCAACCTGGACGGAACATCACATGCACGCCGTCTACGACGTAACGACTCAGTTACGGCGAGACGTCGCCGAAAAGATGCGATGGTGCGGCAAGTCGAAGACGCGACTCAAGCCAAGAGCGCGCCACAGAAGGTACGATTGGTGACTGAATCGAAGCCGATGTTGTCCAGCTCGACAGCGAAATCGCAAATTCAACGAAAAGATTACCTCAACCCGCACCAACCCAACGCGTGCCGAGATAGGGTCTCGGGAACGAGTGGCGGCGACGAAGCATCCTGGCCGAACGGAGAAACGAACGACAGGCGACAGTTGATGACAGTGCGCGCTGTAAAGCGAAGCCACTCTCGTTATGTCAGCACCAGAGAGCTGTAAAGCGACGTGCCACGTCGCTCCTTGGCACACTAACCACGTGTTCAGGTGACCGACACGAAAACGTTCTGGAGCGAGGCATTGCATGTTCAAGAGGTCAACCAGCAACCTTACCTGTCTGGTAAGTTTGGGAAGAGCGCCCCATCTGGCGCTACAACAGCAGCAAGATGCACACCGCCCTGCTTCGGATGGCAACGCCCCTTCGCCACATCTACGAAGAGCGCCAGATCCTTCTTGCATGCGCTCCCTTTTGCCGTCCTGCGGACCACGAGCACTTTCCTATAGCGAATCAACAGTCATCGTCGAAGTTGCCGCCTCCCATCGCCACCTTCAACGCGGGTCAACAGCACTTGAGTTGTCCACAGCAATAACGATCCTGCTCCTCCACTCACCGGACACAAGCCGGCGGTGCAAAAGGTCTTGTCCCACCGCGCTGTTCCTGGAGTAAAGTTGGACGTACTTTAGGATAAAACGAGGGATTCCGTCACAGAACATGGACAGCTACGTGCGTTTGGAGTTCACGAAGGCGCCACTTGCAGCGATACTGCCTCCATTCGACCCGTGATGCTCCCTGAACCATTCGTGGCTGGGGCAACGGCCAAACTCGTCGAGTTTCACGGCGGCGATAAGGGAAATCTTTCCCACTCTTGAATCCGCAGGGCACCATTCTTCCTCCACCACGTCGCCAGGAAACGACCACGCAACTGTGGTGCCCCGACGTCGTGTGTCAGGGCTGGCTCAACCCTTGAGGCCCATGCGTGGCGACACCGAACGCCAAACTAACCCCATCGACCGCGGCGTATAGAGGAAAAGCTAACGCTTCCTGCCGCATGGGCCTCTCGACCAGAGGCCCGTGTCGACAGATCCCATTCGCAATACCACCGCTGTGATGATCTCGTCGTCGATTCTCCTGCGAATAATTTCCGTGACAAGAACTCAGTTGGCATCGACTTGCCGTTGATGACAATGGTCCAGACACAAACACCCCCTCCTTCATCTCTGTCCAAGTACCGTCAGGGGCCGCCGCCCTCTGCATATGCGCCGAGTCCAGGGCGTAACTCTGTGGATAGGTTCTCGTGGCCTACGAAAGGTACCTTTGAACGTAGCTACGCTGAAACCTCCACACATCCCTTCAAGGCGAGCCGTGCGTGCCTACCGCACCGTGCGGCAAGCAAGCCATGACAACGATCGAGCATCGTCGCGCCCTGCCAGTCCATCATAATGTTCCCATGGTCGTGACTGCGTCCCTGGTCGTGCCTTATGTAACCGCTAGCGGTTTCAAATTCGAAACGGCGCGACCATTGGACGTTTCGCGACTCACGTGGTGCTATTTTGAAGCTCCGTGGGGGGGGGTTTCGACCAGTTGGAACAGCGTCGTCGCATTTACCTCCACTCTTGCGGGTGCCACGCGAGAATGCTGCGCCCGGCGAATTTGGACGGGTGCAAGAAGCCCCCATCGTAAGCTCGCTTCTTGCAAACGGGCTGGTGGCGACCCACGCCGGCCTCAAACACCTTACCAACGTCCCGCGCATGTGTCGGTAGATTGCGGCCACTCGGCAGCTCGGATGACAACGTGCCCAGTTCGGTCGTGGCTGAAAGATATCCTTTTTCTTCGTTTTGCCTGTGCTCTCATTTCGCGCGTCTGCCGTGGAGCACCCTTAACGTGTACGTGCACGACCCTTCTCAACGCGCAACTTCGTGGGTCTGTCCTGGAGCTCCAGCGACAGCTGGTCGCGGTGACTGCCGCTGGCGAGGCGCTCCAAGAAGACGTCCATGCGAGGACTGTGGCACTGGCGCAACACGATTCCCGTCAGGTGGGAAAGTTCCCCTCGCGTCTGGCCAACGAACGGATGAATGTCGCGCAGGGTGGCCGATACCCCGACCACTCAGAAGAACTGGCGTCTGCTCTGCAGAGAAATGCAGCGCTGTCATCGAAAACCAAGACTCTGGAGCTCGAAATCGCCGACCTTTCGAGGCATCTCGACCGCCTCGCACGGGTACTTGCAGCGAGCTAGACAGAGATCCATCCCGCTTGTTCATGCATGATCAAACTTCAACAGAGTTGTGCTGCGGCCAATGTCGCTGCCACACGCCCTGCCACGTCGCCACTTCACCTTGCTTCAGTACCTTTGCCCTGTTGACTGCCGACGTCGAGCTCACCGTGCTCACAATGCGTAGGCGCTCCACGTCGACGTGTTTGTGCGCACCTTTGTCAAAGGCTCCAAGGTGCCATTGCAGTTGACTAGCATGTCATTTTCATGTGCTGCATTGCTGCTACAACCGCAGGCGTCTTTGGCGTTCGAGATGGAATGGACCGAGAAAGACATGGCGACGCTGGTAAGCGATTCCCCGTCCATGATCCGCACACACTGATGCGGGGGCTGGTGCCAATCCAGACGGACGCAATGGTCGCCAATTTACCGCTGTTGCTAACCGCGGCAGTGGTTGGCGAACCCCGGAAATCGTCACCGAAATTTGCCAAGAAAAACACTCCAAACAGCGCTTCGTCCGCAAGTCCGTCGGGTGAGTTGCCGCAAGTGGAGAACGCATCGCCACGGCGCCGCCGCCCTCGTTCCGACAGCGTTCACAGGTAGCCCTCCCTCCCTCCTCTTCATCGTTCCTCCATGTGGAATAACCATTTGATATTGTGCAGCAGCGCCGCCATCGCACCAAATGCCATGTATGGAGCCCGTAACGACCCCGTCCTGAGAATAGCATGTTTCGTAGCCCTCTCCTGATGTGGCCGCCGCCCGACAACTCGGAACCCGCTCTAGAAACGCCCCCTTCGTCTGCAAACAGTAAACTGCCGTCCAACATGCGAGGGCACCGCCAAGGATCTTCGGAACGTATTCGATGGGCTCTACTCTCTCAAACAATTGATGGGTCGGCTATACATGCATCGAATGCGGCAAAACCTTGATTGCGATGTGTGCAGAACGACACACGACGAATTGGACTCGCTCATGCTTCCCGGGCTCGGGGAGGCCGTTGGGATCGTCCCCGCCGTTGAACACTCGCGCACCCCACGGCCGTATGTGCATTCAACTGGTCTCTCGACTCAAAAGCGCGACTTCATTACAGAGGAGGGTTTGAGCGGTCGAAGAGCGGAAGGCACGTCGACAGTGCCAACACCATGTACGTGGCCCATTCGATTTTCACGTCGGGGGCTCACCGACGCGCCGATGTGAACTCCAGAGAAAAATCGCTGCATCCTGGTATGCACCGTGCAGGTTCTCGCGTGATTCGGTACGGCTAGACGAGCCCGTTCCCGTTGTTTTTGATTTTGGATTGACCTGGTTTCGACCAGGGAGAATATGTCCGCACCCATCGCGCTCGCAGCAACAGAACGGCCGTCGTTGTCGAGGCGGCCCAGCTCGAAACAGCACTTGTACTCGACTCTTCCCATGACGGCATTCTTCCTGCGACCATCGAGTCATGTTGTTACGATGGTAGACAACCTGCGCTGGTGCCGATCGTGGATGCGGCCGTCATGCCAGCCGCCGTCCATCCTACCCGTCATGTCACAGCCGATGAAATGTGCGCGCTTGTCGTCATGGTTGCGATGGACGTCGCCATGAGGGGCGGATTTGAGTAGGGAGCATGTCGTCAACGTCGTGCGGCGGCCGTCCTTGCGAGGAAGCACCACGAACATACGGTGAGATGCCCGCACGATGTGGCCGTGACGAGCGACCCAATTCCAGAGCATCTCCGCCGATTATTCAAGAGCCTCCGTCGCCACCGAAACCTGTCAAGTGGTGCGTCGTTCCAACACAAAACGATTTGGAAATATGTCATCGCGCTAGCATCCCCCGCCTCGCCATGGTCGAGCCGTTCGAGTTTGCCGACTTGCAAGCGAATATTGAAGCGGACGACGACCGGGTCGATACAGCCACCGCGCCAACCTTGACGTACGTTCGCGGGAGCTCACGAGTGTTCTCGATTGAATCGGTTGCTTGGAATCGTCGTAGCCCAACCACGTCGCGAGGCGAAATGGAAATTTACATCAGGTACACGCATTGCTCGTCCCGCGCCCATTCCAGTCGATGCCTCTCAACCAACTGCACTGCAGCCCGCCACGACCTCACTTTGACACCTTAAACCTGTGCGTACTTGACGAGCATAGCCCACCTCTCGTCGCGAGGCGTGCATGGCGCTGACGTGGGCTTTGTAGATCGGCCTCCCATGCCGCCATGCGGTACTTGCACTCTCCGCGACGGCATCGATCCGTCCCCGTGAGCTCTACCTCTAGCGACACCCCGCGACCGGAGCCGGAAGACTCGACGGCAAGGTCGTCTGTGGATGGGTCGACGTCCCAGCGCGGAAGTCCACCGCGGCTCGCGCCCCTCCTTCAAACGTAATTTGCCCTCCATCGCTCGCTCTTCTATCGATTCCGTCCTGACAGGTGTGTAGGTCTGCATCAACTGTTTGCTTCAAGTACACTTGTGCCGGTCGTATTTGTTCTGCCCGTTCAAACTCGCCCATGCCTAGCACGTCCAGAGAAAGCCCACCGCGACAACCCAAGGAGCTGGCCGCGCCGGCATCTTTAGCCAAGCAGCGCACCTCCAAACTCCTGGCTCGGATCATTCCGTACGGCACCTTCACGTTCAAAATTCCTGCGTGACACGCCCGCCGACTGCGCAGGGCCACTACGTACATGGACAGCACGTCGCCCACGTCCATGATCGACACTTGCGGCAGCACCGCCGTCATGATGACCACATCTTCATCGATCGCCATCGACCAAAGGTTTGTCCGATTTGAAGGTGTAGCTGAGGTACTTCGTGTGCAGTAGCCCGCCACGACAAAGCGGCGTGCTTGGAAGCGTCGCGTCGGCTGCCATGCTGCCCCTCAAGTGAGTACTTGACGATTGTTGATTGCGATGGGCTTACGAGTCCGTGGCGGATGATCTGCAGAGCTAGCCCTCCCAAGCAACCTGCTGACTCGCCCATTGCGTAAGGGGGCATTTGGATCGTCTTTTTGGCTAGATTCTGAATGGTGTAGACGCAACATGGACAAGTCCCCGTCCGCGTCAAGGCGAGGATTATTTCCTTCGCCGTCCAGGTGGGATCACTCGGATGGATCGGGCCATGTGTGTGACTTCTGTACCAGGACGTCCATGGAGTGGAAGTGAAGGAGGCGCCGATGGAACCGTGGTGGCGTTTTGTGGCAGTCGTTTCTGTGGTGCAGTCCAGCCGACATAACAATTTTGAATCCATGTGGGGTGTCCGGGGAAGGGAATACGTCTCATCTTGGCCAACGCATCGTGTGGACTTCGCCTGTTCTCCCATAGACCTCGTGGTCGAGCAGTCGGTGTCGTCAACGTCGCGACTTTCACCAACACAGTCGCGGCCACCCCCTCCCCAACGATTTGCTCTCAGTGAAAGTATCAGCAACTGCAACCGATAGCGACGGTGGGGATGGCCATGCATGTTTCAGCTCGATTCGTCCCATTTCTTGAGGCTTCGTTGGCGGCGTCCCATCCACCGACGGCGGCGCATGGCTGCCGTCTGGTCGTAGATGGAGTTGAAGTTGCCTTTGTGTGTGGGTATCTGGTGGTATATCTGTCCGATTTGAGTGCAATCCCCAATAAATACCCTTTTGTCTGTGGAATACCGGGTGTTCTGGTTATTCCGGCCTTCGCCAACTGGGGATGGAGTTGCGGATGATTTCAAACGCATGCAGCACCTCGGCATGGTACGTCTCGACAAGATCGACGACTGAGGCTTGCCCAAGCAGCAGCCTGGCGATGCCGACGACAACGCAACTTTTGCTGTCGCAATCGCGTCATCCTCAGATGCTCCACATCCCACATCAGTTGCTCGATTCCATGTATGATCGTTCGCGCTGCACTAAAGTGTCCCACCTTGGTGACGTGGTTGGCCCAGTGTTCCGCGCCAGACCCCGTCCTCTTGACGTGTGCAGCTTGTCTAGTTGGTCGGTCTTGTTTGCGCCGCCTTGGCGACTGTTGCGTCAATAGCGACAACTTCACCATCGGCCGTCAAGTGACGGCCGACCCTCCTGGACGGAGCATTCAACTCGATCCTCGCATGACTTATCCTGATGTTTGCATCGCGAATCGGCCATGCACTCGGACACACGCTGCCATCGCAGCGACTGGTCGCGATGGCGCTTACCGTACTCTGCTACATCTGGATGGGCATCGCCCTCAACGTTGCAATTGTGTTGCCAACTTCATCATGACAGCCTTCGCCTGGGACCGTCAAGCGACTCGATCCGTTGTCGGAAGTTCATAGCGGCAGTCGGTCACCTCTCCATCTCCGTGTACACCACTACATTTGACCCAGCCTACCAATCGATCGCTGCCTTCCGCAACAACGTTGGCCACAAGTCTGGTTTTCCCGGGAGACGCCGAACAGGCCATTACCTCGACCGACGTGGGTCATCCCATCCGCGAAACCTTCCCAGCGGTGTACAATGGAAATTGAACTCTGCCGTCGTCTTTGTCATCGTCGGCCTGACGCGGTGTTACAAGTCGTACAGCGGTGCCAAGTCACAGTTCTTAGGCCAAGTGGTCCAGGAAGGAACATCCGATGGAGCGAGTCTGTCTTGAACTCCCTCTTCTCCCCCGTGCACGTCGAGGCAAGTTGCATGCAACGATGGTGTGCGATGGTGTGCGCCTGGCGGGATATAAGAACTTGATACAAATCGTGGCGTTCGCCTATGTGCTGTGGTTGCCGTCCCTCGCCTACCGCATTTATTGCGAACGCCGAGTCGTCATCTGTGGCATTCTTCCCCAGGCGTTGCTCGCCGTCGTCGCGTTCTCAAAATACGGCGAGTCGAATGTCGCCATCGCTGCAGCTTGCAACGTCAGCTCTTTTTGCATGCAGTACCCCACGTCCCCTCGTCGGTAAAACGGACGTCAGCGGTGCATTGGACTTGGCCATGTGTCTGGGGCAGGCGCTCAACTACCTCTTATCGTAGTGCGGATTGGAATGGGGGGTATGCGTTGCCCGTGCTTGTCGGCGGCCCATTGTGTTCTGGACAAACGTCCTCCAATTTACTGTAAATCGAAATAATTCAATTGTGAGTGGTTTTTGTCGCGAGATTTATTTGACCAGACTATTGTTGGGGGGTTTTCAACAAATTTTTGGGATTATTTTGGAGTCGTGATGAACAAACGTTTCTCCCATCAATGAGGGATTTACTAGATCCTGCTGTATTTCAAACTACCACCCGCCATTCTCGCGGCCTTCGGGAGGGGGGGCTGATGCGTCAGGAAACGAAGGATCTGACGCATATGTTCTCTGACACTCGCATGAAGCCGTCGAACAAGAGACTCGACGACATTTCGCGGGAGGGGTGCGAGGTCGACACTTATCTCTCTACGGTCCCCTGTTGAAGAACTGCCATCGAAGTTGGTGGACCATGGCTGAGTTATGTATACTACGCGGTCAAGCGAGTGCATGGAGGATGGGAATGGGAAAGCTGGGGTTGGTTTCGCGGCACACGCATCATGGAGGTGGCCGCACAGGTAGTCATTCAAACGAGTTCCCCCAATTCTATTTTCGAAGAGCAGTACAAACGACGGACGAGGTGCAGCCAACTTGGATAAGGATTGCAAGCGTTGTACCGTCGTCTAATTTGCTGTGGGAGTTGCGATTTCACACACATAACCTGAAGCAAAGTATCTTCTTAGCCCCTGATTGGCTAAATATGTAAGGTGGAGGTTTAGTGACCCCTGATTGGCTCAGACCCAATTCTGTGTATGATAGGACAAATATACAATGAAATCGGAGCTCTCATATTGGTTGATGGAGATATGGAGCTATTGAGGTTTGAGCTGATTGGACCCTCTGTGGAACTGGTGGACAAACATGCCGCCCACGTGTCGTCGACCTCGTTTTATCTCACGGACGAAGAGTTGCTTGGCACTTTGGAGTTGCTTAGCACTTTGGAGTTGTTTGGCATTTTGGAGCCTTTACCCCCAAACTCTATCAGCTCTAGTTAACCTTTTGACGTTTGGGTCATTGGATCATTGAAGGCGAGAATACATGCGTCGTGGCTCTTGGAGAAATCTGTCGTGTCTGCAGACGAAACGTGAAGAAAAATGGTCGAATGAACCATCATCAAGGCTTGGAGTCCGTCAGTGTGCAAACGATGGAGATGTCGTTCAAAAGGCAATTCCTCGCATGTTCCAGTTGGCAGGTGCAATATATAATTGTATGAATGAAACTTAAAGCATCACACACGGTTTCTTTGTATAAAATAGTTTCGCAATGCCCTGATGGGGACTCGATGGAACGTTAAACCCGGAGCCTTCATCACGACATAAAATGAAGCAAAATAAAGAAATTGCGCCACTTACATGTTAGTTCAACTTGATTGGCTATAATTAAGAGAATTTTTGTCAATCAATCACAGTTGCGTTTGGGTCTACACTGCAATTGGTCAAAACGAATGCCATTTTTGACGTGGTATTGAAGTATACAGGTGGCGGAATTTTTTACAACAGATCACGGTATTATGGAGGTAGTTGTTGTTTTGAGGTTTACGCTTTTTCCGGAGTTCTCTGTAATCCTCCACCACTCACGCACAATGTGCTACTTTGACTAGGTCAGTTAACCAACCTATCGCTAGCTTACCCTAATACTACGCCAAATGGCGCGTAGTTATCCTCGGAATGTCCGACTTGCAAAGGAGGGGTACCTACTGGTCATGACGGTACGATCTCTGTCCATGTCAAGATTTAAAATTGCATAATTTCACTATTCTTTTGGCCTATCAGGGGCCTCATATCAGAATTAGATGGGTACCACCATCCATGAATTTTTTACACTCGCTGGTTGTGGGTGCTCAGGTTGCATACAAACTTCAAAATACTCGGGTGTACAACGCTTTTGAGATTTTTCAAGTTCACCGTTGACCCACCTCGTGGGAAAAGAACTTGAAGTTCCCTTAACTAAATGCATAACCGACCTCTTTCGTTAATCGTTGAACAAAATGAACAAAACCGAGTGCTTTCCTACACAAATCACCTTGACCACCCACACATCGATGCCCTCCTGTACAGGCATGCATCGAATCTCAGAGTCCCCCCGCCACCCAAGAGGTGGTTGGAAATCCTGAACGCGCATGTTGAAGTACTGAAAATGGCAATTGTTGTAGGCGTCACCGGATATTTTATCCGGATGACCACACGGTGTCCATGTGCACCTCTATGTGGGTGTAATGGCTGGGCGGTAAAGTTGTGGAGAGTCAACAGCACATATTGAATCCATTCTTGACATGCGGGAATCGGCGCCTACCGCCGCGGCCGCTTCAGGATGGACCTCCTATGAAGACGTCCAGCAAGGCCAGATGACGACCGACGTCGAAGACGACCAGACCGGGCTGCAAGCGGCTCGCCAACTGTTCAAAGGTGAGGTCGTTGAACCGCAGACCACCCACCATGTGAGTGCGAATCCGATCATCTCGACGTTCCAGACCAACAACATGGTGCAACGTATTGTGTCGGGGCTGGTCCTCGGTGCCGCCGTCACCGTGTACTTGGCGCTTGGGCCCGCAGCCGCGCCGATCTATCTCTGTTCGTTTGTCGTGTCTGTGTGCAACTATGAGTATGCGTGGCTCTCGCATCGCATCGCCTACCGATTCACCGTAACGTATGCCCACCAGTCCCAAGACGACGACGCCGCCATGGAGATTGTGCCGCTCGATGTGACGTCCGTTGCGGTGTCCAGCCTTCCGTTTGGGTCCCGTCACCCCAAGCTCGTCGCGGGCGCCGTCGCGGTCATCGCGACTGGCATCGTGACAATCGGGTTCGTCTTGCTCCAGATCCATCTCTTCCACTACGAGACCGTCGCCTACGCGAGCATTTACCAGACACCCCTCGTGTACACGTGGATGGATTTCATCCTGCTGGTTGCGATTTCGACGTGGGTCACCATCTACTGCGCGATGCTGACGCCGACGCTGTCGTCGGCCCTCAACTCGGTCCTGCAGCAATTCGTTTACTCGCTGCAGCTCATTACGTTCTTCACGTGCTATCGGTACGACACCAAGTGTTACTCGGTCGGGTTCACTGGTGTGGCTCGCATGAACGTTGTCGTGCTCGTCCTCATCAACCGTGTGCCGTGGTGGCGCCGCTTGTCCAAGACCCAAACCATCACAGCAGTACTGCATGTGATTCTGGACGTTGTTGGCTTTGCGTACATTGCGATGCTCATGAATCCGGTGTCGTCGATCATTATGCAAATCGACGAAGGCGCGCGCATTGCGCTAGGGTTCCTCGCCGTCGTCTGGGGCGTCGACACTGGCGCGTACTTTTGCGGCCACTTGCTCAGCTACGTCGGATACAAGCGCTCGCACTACCTCGCACCACACATCAGTCCGAACAAGGACATCGAAGGAAGTATCGGCGGCATCCTTGTCGGAATCGCCGCAACGCTTCTCGTGGACGGGTGCTGGAGCGACATGACTGGCGTTGCTGTGGACGATGAACTACTTGCCCTTCAACGTCGTGCACGGGTGTGGCGTATTGTGTTTGCAGTCGTCGGTGGCGCGATTTCTCGGTATGGCGACTTGTTTGCGAGTCTGTTGAAGCGCCTCGCTGGAGTCAAGGACACGGGTACCCTCATTCCTGGACACGGTGGACTACTCGACCGAGTCGACGCAATGCTCTTCTTGGGCGCCGTGTTCGTCCTTTACCATCGCACTGGGTTTCCCGTTGGTTACGACCAAATCATCTCGCAAACATACCAATATCTGCTCAACCAGCGCTTCAACATCGTGTCAGCGCAAGAACGGCCATAAGCAAGAGCATCCTAATCCTATATATGTATCTTACCACATCGTATCATCTCTTGGGTTCATCGTGCCGCTGCCCTCTTAGAGGCGCCGCCGCGTTCCTGTCGCAGAAACTTTCGTTAGTTTTCACGTGTCGCAGTCGTTTCTCTCAAATTTTCCCTTAAAATCAGCCAATCCAAATTGGATGTTTCACGCTTCTTTGGATTTTGCGAATTTCCGAGGCAATTATTCCTCGTTTCGTCCAACGAGAACGAACGCTAACAGCATCTCGACTCCCGAGTCCTCACAGCTCTTCCGCGCCGCCCGTCCTTCTCTGTATGTGGACTCTTCCTATGACGTGAAAGAAGGTGACTGCACTCACGATGGTATGGATGTGCGTAGTAGTTCAACTGTAAGCGATGGGTAGTACCTCGAGCAAGTCACATGATTCGCACCCTGCAGAACTGGGGACGATGCATGAGACGTCCCAAAAGGCTGCTTCGTCCGGAACGTCTATGAGCGCTGGACCAGGGCACAATATGGCGGTCGTTTCGTCTGGGGCCGGGCATTTTCCATCTGAAGGCGCGTACTTTGGCAGTCCGAATCACCAAGGCGGCGTCAACGCCATGCAGAACAGCGACACAGACATGGACATGGATGTGACGAATTCCCCGCGGTACGCACGGACAGGGGGTGCGTCCAGCAGCGGTGCCGTGCCCAGTACCGCATCGTCGGTCAAGCAGCCCGACATCGTCCCGATGGTGTTTCGATGGGAGCATGGTGGTCGGAACGTACGGCATATTCGATCTCCACGAAAGATAATGTCTTTCGTCATTCCCTCACGTAGGTGTGTATCACGGGCACGTTTAACGGTTGGTCTGCTCATGTCCCCATGCACCGATCCGGGAACGACTTCACCTACATCGCCAATTTGCCCCGCGGGAAGCACGCATACAAGTTTGTCGTCGACGACGAGTGGCGCTTCGCCCCCGACCAGCCCACGGTGGCGGACGTCGACGGCAATATTAACAACTACGTGGACGTTTCGGACTTTACGTCGTTGGCGGACGTGGAGTTGGACAAGCCGGACAACGACAATGACACGACAGTGTACGGGCGGTTCATTCCAGACTTGGACGAGTACACGAAGGAGCCGCCGCCGCTGCCGCCTCATCTTCGGCACATCATCTTGAACAAGGTAAACGCGCTCCCCGATCATGGCGAAGTGAGGTCACGAGAGGAACGGTCGTGGGTGTAGGCACCGCCGAGTGTGGACTGCCGCCTTTTGCCAGTGCCGCAACACGTCGCGCTCAATCATTTGTACTGCACGGCGATCAAGGATGGGATGATGGTGCTTGGCCTCACTCAGCGGTAGGAACCGCCATGCGTCTTGCGTCGTGTGATGAAGGATGCTCGTAGGTACAAGCAAAAGTTTGTCACGACGGTGTACTATAGCTTAATGCCAGGATCGACGTAATAAAGATGAATGCGCATGAACACATGACGGCGGCGACTGACATAGACCGATCGATCCTCATCATGCATACACCCCTGCCCACAGCAGGAGGAACACGGTGCCTGTACCCAGAAAGAGAGACGCCATGGCGGCGTACGCGGTTTCCACCACCACGTTCTTTTCGTCGCTGACGGTTCTGGTGAAGAACCCCGCGAAAAACACGAAGCCGAGCACGGTCATCACGAGAGACAGGACGCCGTAGTGGTCTACAGACACAGGGCTCGAGTACGGCTGCTCCTGCGCAAACTCCCTCTGATGAGACCTCCGTCGGCGGCGTGATCGTGCGCTCCTACCATGTCGACGTGAAGGCAATATATCCGGATTTGACGTTATCCGGATGATGTCGTCAATCGGGATGACCACGTCGCCAGCACGTGGACAGTTCCAACGTGGCGACCAAGGCGAGAGGCATGAAGGCGGTGAGGACGGTCGTGAGTGCGATGTGGCTGGCGGCGATGGCAATGGCCACTTCGATCTATGACTTTACCCTAAAGACTGCGAATGGCGAAGACTACCCCCTCTCGAACTACGACCACACGCCTGTGATCCTTGTCGTCAACGTCGCGAGCGAGTGCGGGTTCACCGACATCAACTACCGAGCGTTGCAGGCACGACGAATGGATGAATCGTTTTCTTCGCTCATGCGCGGCATGTCTGCGTGATAGAAATACTACGACGAGTACCACCAGTTTGGATTTGAGATCGTTGCCGTCCCAAGCAATCAGTTTGGCGCGCAAGAACCAGGCACGTACGACGACATTGTCCAGTTTGCCAAGACCAACTACAACGTCGGCTTCCGAATCTTCGACAAGGTACCATCCAAGGGATGGCATTGTGGACAGTCATGCACCGGAACGCATTCGATAGGTCGACGTGAATGGCCCGAACGCTCACCCGTTGTACACTTGGCTGAAAGCCAACGTCCCTGACGACGACGGCCGCGACGTTGCGTGGAATTTTGAAAAGTTCCTTGTTGTGGACGGGAAGCCTTGGAATCGCGTGGCCCACAACGTAAATCTAGACAAGGTCGAAGACAAAATTCTGTACGCCCTCGCCCACGAAGCGGATTACCACCACCTGGACGACCATCATGTCGACGATGACGACGATAGCCACGATGAACTCTAACCTCAATCGATCGCGCCTCCAAGGTCTCTCTTGTCATGTATGACTCGATTTGCACCCGCTTCATCCTGTCCGCCACGTCTTGCGGCGAACAGTGTTGCCTCGGTTGGCATCATCTGCGTGATGATGCAAGCGCGACACCACCGTCCGCACTTGACAGACGGATCGTATGTCAGGTCTGGTCGAGCTCATTTCCATTCTGAATTCCCAGCGCTCCGCATGAAGGACGGAGGTGCCCAGCGTTCGCCGCCACCGCGGCCATCGTCGAGCGAACCCACCCACTCGAACTTGACACATAAATTAACTCACAAGTTTGGAAACCCACTGAAGCACTCCTTGCCCGTCACGTTGGCTTCGATCGACTCGACGATGCACGTCCCGACGTCGACGAGGAATCGCTGCGTCGTTTGGACAAACATCCCGCTGAGCTCGTCCGGCGTGTACGGCATGTTGACGTTTTGGAAGATCCGAACGACGGACGCGAGAAAGTCGTATCGGTTCTGCGAGTCCTGGTACTCGTTGTACGACACGTTGTCGAGGCGTTGCCACTTTTGCACGAGATGCGCAATGTCGGCATTCAGCGTCGTCGAGTACGCCGACGACCACTCGACGCGCTCGTACACGGCGAGAAAAAACCCGAGGAGCAAGAAATAATGCACCCGAACGAGCCACTTGGTACGCAACGACGCGTCGTTTTTGGCTAACGACCGCAGCAGCGTGGCAAACATGGCGCCGACATGGTACAAGCAACTCCCCAGCACCATCAGGACGATGTGGTACCACTCGAGGAGAGGAATCTCGGCGGGGGCGATCCCGACTTTGACGACAACGTTGGCTAAAATCGACGCCACGATGCCGACGAGAACCACTGTCCACTGCTTGACCCACGACCCGGGCTGGGAAGGCGATGGCAGGAGCGCTGTCGTTAAGTCTGTCGTCCACAACACGAGAAAGCAGCTCACCACGACGAACAAGCCTTGATCCGGGATGCCAGTGACTGGGTTGATGTCTGGCTGAAGGAGCTGATCGACCATAGCGCCAAACAACATGAGGAGCGACGGGATGTACTGCAGGCAAAACAGGTCCAGGAGCAGGGTAAGGCCGGTGCGCGCAATTTCAGTCGAACGGAGGATGCGCAGGATCACGATTGGCACAAAGGTCACGGCAATCGAATAGCCGCCCTCGATGAGGACGAACTGACGGACCGTGTTGTCGACGGACTCGCGGAAGTCGAAGAACGAGTTTAACGAGTACATGCTGAAAGAGAACTGCTGCAGCAGCAAGATCACGCCGTCCATGGGGGTCGGTGTGAGCATGGCGCACACCACCGCGACGAACGAAGTCGACGCGACGTACGCAAGGATCAGGAAAAACGTCGACGTGCTTGGCCAGAGGTTGGCAAAGAGCTGTAACACTGCAACGAAGCCGGATGAAAGCAGCATGACGAGCGCGGACACAATCACGGTCATGACAGAGGCAGAGATACCGGCCCGCGCACCCCACGAGTCCGCGACGGTCGTGGCCTTTCTCGTGTCGCGGTATGGGGCCAGAACGTCCATTTCGAAGTACAGCTGGAACGGCCGTAGCAACGTCTGGATGATCGCGTACGAGTACCATGACATTTCGTAGTTCAGGATGGACACGAGGTACGACGAGAGGAAGAGGGCTCCGTTGGTGCCAAAAAACACGATGACACAGACGAAGGTAGCGGCGATCGCGACGGACGATAGCAAGGTCCACGTACCATGCAAGCACATACGATGGCCCGAACTAGCAATGGCCGCGGCATCATGTTCGAGCGGCAAGCTCGGAGTTTCTGAGCGAGCGTGCTGGAGGAGAACCACCGAGGTGTTTGACGGGAATGAACCGCGCACGACGTTGCCATCCCCAGACGCGACGGCTTTCGATGTGGACGGCTGGTACTGGCTGTGTGGCGACTGTAGTTTGGGGGTAAGAATCGCAGCTCCGTCGTGCTGCTGTCCCTGTCTAGTCGGACACACTACGGCGGCGGCTGCCGCTGTCGGGATCGATAAACTCATCGACGAATTGTACCAGTGTCAGCTTCTGCTTGGTCGCAAGAGGAATCTAAAACGTAAATGTTTTAATATTAAACGTACGTTTAATACCCATCAAAATCAATAAAACCCGGCGGAATTGACAAGGTAAAGTCATTTAACGTAATAGCAGTATATTGTGGGTGCTGGAGGATGCGTAATCTGCAGCTGGTGCGGCGTAGGGCTATTATCCGGATGATGCGTGTATACAAACTGCAAATATTGGGGGCTGATCAAGTGGAATCATCGTCCGGGCGTCATCACGGTGCAAGTAAACAATGTGGCAGCCACTCGCAAGATGAAGAGATCGTACTGTTGGGGGCGGCTGCGTTGATTTTCTCGAATGTGCCACTCATCGTCCCACGACGTCCTTCGTTGGGTTCAACCAATTCGATTACACCCGATGACGCCTGCGGCGCGGGAGTGTATGTGGGAAAAACACTGCTAATAGGTGACACTGGGATAAACCACAGATGTTATTATTGCGTGAAAATTCTCACATGATTAAAATGACTGGGAGGAATATATTTCGACCAATAAACTCTTGAAAATTTCCATCTCTGTAAAGGCGCTAGAATATTTCCATCTCAGTGCCAAGGCGTCGTCGCAAAGCTGCCGACGAGCTCCTCCATGCTGCGCAACGCCTTGGCACGTGCAGGAGCGTGCAGTATTGCATTTGAGCATTGTACCTTGATCTATTCTGGACCGGTTGGCACTCTTTCAGCGCACTTTTCATCCCAACGACGAACGGTCACACGAGCAAACATCACCGACGGCCGAACGACAAAGCGGCGACGACAACTTATTTGTTCGTGACAAGAAAGTAGACGACTTGACCAAGGGCGACGCACAGGTTTCCGCACGTCGTGTAGACTGCGTACTTGGATGCTTGCGAAAACCTCGGTCGGATGTTGGTGATGACAACGTGGTTTCGATTCAGGCGCGACTGGAGGTCCCGCAGGTTCTTGTCAGTCAAGAAGTTGCTTGACGAGTCCTGCGTCGGGGTCGTGGGGAGCGGCCGCGGGTTGTGAACAACGCTGCGGTTCTCGTCGGCGCTGTCGCGGACCGCATCCTTGGCCTGACGGCCAAGCTGGACCATCTTGGCCCGAATCCACGGCGACACCATCGTGCGGATTTGAAAATTCGCTCGAAATTCGAGGGCCCGCAATGACTTTTTGATGAAGAAAGACCTGGGCGAGCGATACATCCCCACGGTGACTTGTCCATGAATACGTCGGGGCAGCTCACCGTCGGAGATTCTCTTCCTCGTACGACACGATCATCCCGAGCAACTGCACGATGCACAAGTACGTCGCGTACTCCAAGTGGACGCGCCGCGGCAGGACCGAGTAAGTCGCCGCAATGAATGCCAGGCACGTCGCGATAGTCACTGGCGCCGAATACGCAAACCTACACCGCTCGACGATGACCAACGACGACAACGTGATGGCGACGCACCGCAGGCGGAAGGTCGACCGATGGGAAAACATGGTCGCGTTGAGCAGCCCTTGAAAGTACACCGAGTAAATGTCGCGCCGTCCAAAATGGATCGCGATTAAGACGACGAGTGTGCCTGGCCACGACAGACCACGGCCTTGGTCAGGTTTGCGCGCCACCCAGGATGGATCAATGCATGCGTACCGAGGAGGGAGATGTGCATCAAGACGACTGCGGACGTGATGTACTGGACGGTCGGAGCGTACCCTCTGTGCATATTGAGAAGGTAGCGCTCGATTGTCTTCGACAGCCGCTTCCGCATGGCCTTGACGGTGCCCTACAACTCCGACGACTTCAGGCCACGTCGCAGCAGCGGGAACGGCGCACTTGAAGCCAACGAAACGACCCGCGACGAGGCTGTTTGCGCCAGTGGCGCGACTGGTGCGCCGACTTCATGATGAGCGATGGGATGGCTCGGATCCGACCGGATTCGACCCACTTGGTTGTGTACAGCTGGCTCAAGTATTTCATCGATGCAAAGAGAAAGACATAGCCTGGTATGATGCAGCCGAGGCGAAACGCGAGCGAAATGAGCTGCGTCGTCGTCCCGTACAAGTTGGTCACGTCCTGCAGGACCAACACCGTTTGGTTCAAGCACACTCCTGCCACGCCGCCAAGTGATCACCGCTGCTGCCACACACGGCCACGTCTACCTGTCAGGGGATACCTCCATGAAGCATACGCCGTGCGGTGCAATATGCCAGCATTCACGCTCTCGTACGCGTTGGCGTCCAAGAGGTACCAAAATCGGTAGAAGCGTCTGCAGGCACTGCTTAGAGCACCCGATCGAGATATGCCACCGACCTTTCCAAATCCGAATGCTTGAACGCTTGCGTCCATCGGCGACACAGCACTTCCTTGGCGTAATACGGGCTATGAATCCGAGACGATACGTCGTCGGGGCTCCCTACACGATAACGTTGACGCCCCTCTCCCCACGGCACATCGTACCAGAGTAGTTGAGGCCGAGAACAAAGTTCCGCCGTTTGAGCAGCTCCTGGGGACGTTCGTTCGCACGGCGTTCGAAGAGCGGACGACGTACCTTTTGGTAGCTCGAGACCATCCCTGCCACGACACTCATGGAATAGTTGAGCGACGTGAACACAGTTTTGGACGACGTGTCCGGGCCCGCGGCCATTTCGACAGTCAAGTAGATGATCACGATGGCCCATCCGACCGCTGCCGAGTACGCAAACCGCATGCGGGTCACGTTGAAGAGCGGAATGACGAGAATGACGAGGGCGTAGATCGGGCCCTTGGCTTGCTGGATGCACTTTTTGGCAATGAGCCCGATGGCCACGACAAGGTAGACAAACGTGACAATGCTACAATCGGCGGATCGAGCCATCGACAAACGCCAGGTGTCGATACCTTTCGAGCCGCCGCCTTCCCCACGGCACGAACGTTGCAGCGACGCCGACCCCAAACGTCGGGACGATCAGCCCAAAGCTGAGCCAGTAGAGTGCAATTTCGCTCGGGCCTGAAATCGTTTTGTCCATGTCGGCGTCGTCATCTCGCGCCGCCAGTCGATACGCGTTGAGGAAGTGCACTTCGTAGTAGAAATAGTAAAAGCACGCGACCGCCCCGACCGAAAAGCACAGCTGCACGCGTCGGCGATTGATCCGGTTCAAAAACGCGACGTAGTGCTGCTCGTGGGGCTCTACTCGACCGTGAGAAAACGCGCGCGGTGGGTGGCGGCAGGACCTTCAAAGAAGAGCAAGTTCGGGTCCATCTTGACGCTCGCCATGATCTGTTCAAATTCACGTTGGACGTACACGCGCTCTTGGAGCTTGTATGTCGCCACTACTGTCGACCATCAACCGAGTGGCATGACATGGAATCGAACGCACGGAGAAACGTGAGCGGGCGATCGTGGCTATCGTGGTTGGCGTCGTAGATTTCGTTGAGGGCATCCTGCCACGTCACCGCCCTACCAAATGGGGTCGAGCGATTCCACGGGGTCAGCAAGAGAGAGAGATCGGGGGGTGGGGGATGGAAGGAGGAGCAGTGGCGTACTTGTGCTCGTGGGTTCCCAGCACATGCACTTGCTTCATGCTGTGGTGGGCAACGTATCACCGACGACAGCTATATTCGGAACGCACTGCGCTGTCGTTTCACAATCGAAAGCCCCACGACATGGAGTGGGCCATGCACAGTGTGGACGTTCCAGCGTCCATGGCACACGTGGCGTTCGATGCGTGACAGCTCCAGCGCGGACGCGTGAATCGATCGATGCGTCCATCCATGTCCTTGCGTCGGGATCGCCATGGCCTCGCGTCATGCGCGCCGTGCAGCAGCATAACATGTGGAATGGAAATCGACGACGATCGCTGTGCCTTGGATTACAACACGTCAACAATTCGAGCTACGACATTACGAGCACCACCCCGTCCAACCGATCGATATCACGGGTGGCTGCAACGACTTGGCGGCAGGGTAAGTAGCACCACAACGTGGTTTGCACGTCCAAACGATCGACGGCTGAAACGATGTCGTTGTTGGTGAAGCGCTGCTCGATATCGTCGCCAACGCGACGATCACTTTTGCTTGGCGAGGAAGAACATGACTTGGCCGAATGCGATGAGGACACTCACGCACGTCGAGTACATGCCGAATCGGCTTGCTTTCGACATGCGCGACGACGCATTCGTCACAACTTCGTTGTTCTTGTTCAGTTTTCCCTGGAGGTCGCGCAGGTTCTTGTTCAGGTCGACGTCGACCGCGAGCTTGCTTTGGAGATCGCGCAAGTTTTTGTTCAAGTCGACGTCGGCGAGCTTGCTTTGGAGATCGCGCAGGTTTTTGTTCAAGTCCATGTCCGCGAGAGGTGCCGCGAGGTTGGGCAACGAGAACTTGCCGACCGGGATGACCCGCGACGAAGCGGTGCGCATGTCGATGGCCGACACCGGGGACGTGGGGACCTCGTTCGTGGACGCTCTTGTCGCCACACGGCTCGGTTCCTCGACGTTGTCCTCTGGGATGGCTTCTCGCGGCGCTTTCAATCGGCACTTGGCGTCCCTGGTTTTGCGAATCATGCGCGCTCGTACCCACGACTGGACACGGAGGACCGAGTTGAGCCAAGCTTTGAACTCGAGCGCTCGCAGCGACTTCTTGAGAAAGAACGACCTGCGAGCCATCGTGTCATCGAGCCAGGGACATGCAGACCCACCGCCGGAGATTCTCTTCCTCGTACGACACAATCATGCCCAAGATCTGGACGACGCCGAGGTAGCACGTGTACTCCAAGTGCGTCTGTCGCGGCAGGACATTGCGTGTGCCAAACAAAAAGGCCAAGCATGCGACCATCGTGAGCACGGACGAGTACACAAACCTGCGCCGTGAAGAGTGATCGAGTGATGGCACATGGATGGCCCTACCGCAGTCGAAAGCTCGAACGGTGCGCCACAAGCGTCGCGTTGAGAAACCCCATAAAATACACCCCCTTGACCCCAATGTTGACAGCAATCACGTACACCAACGTTCCTGCATCATTGACCCTGTAATTCCTTCATCGAAAAACGAATGGCTGGCATCGCTCGACCTGTCAAGTACACGTGGAACAGAATCACGGCGGCCGTGATTGCTTGCATGGTGTGGGTGTAGCCGTGGTGCACGCCGACGAGATCGTTGTGGACTCGGTTGACGGCCAGACTCGCGTGGTGCTGGATCTACAACCCGATCGTGAAGGATAAAGCGATCCGTAGATCGCTTTCGTCGCACCGACGCTCTGGAACGCACGGCGATCGAGACGGTGGTGCTAGGGGGCGTCGCGCCCCTCGACGGCGGCGCCAGCATACGATGCGCTATCCATCCCTTGGCATACGCCCGACAAAAGTAGTACATGCACCCAAACAGGATCATGTACGCCGGAATAATGCAGCCGACGCGGAACCCGAGCGCAATGTAATGCGTGCTCGTCTTGTACAGGTTGATCACGTCTTGAAGGACGAGCACGACTTGATTCAAGCACATGCCTACCATGGCACATTGAACGGTTGGATCGTCTTGCTGGAAAAGACCATGGACCAACAGCAGCTACGACGCCACCGACCGTACCAGCAGCGGCGAAGCGCCAGCCCAAGTACACGCCAGAGTGGAGCACGCCCGCGTTCGGGTTCTCGTACGGGCTGCCGTCAATGAGGTACCAGTACCGATAGAACCGCCTACACGACGAGAGCGTGGTGAAAACCGGTGGGCATCCACCGAGCCACAACTGCGCGCGGGCTCGTGGGCAAGACTGCCGCACCGCTCGAGGTCGGCGTGGCGGAAGGCCTGGGTCCACCGATAGCACACGACTTCTTTGGCGTAGTACGGACTGTGAATTCGCGACGACGCATCGTCTTCCGCGCCTTCAAAAGTCCATGGTGAAGACAGGATGCCGCAACGTGCGATACCTGAAAAGTTGAGGCCGAGGGTGAAGTTGCGGCGCTTGAGGAGCTCCTGTCGAACGGCAAACTGTCGTGAGGACCGGCCGAGGCACGGGGACTACCTTTTGGTAACTCGACACCATGCCGCCGATGACACTCATCGAGTAGTTGAGTGTGGTGAAGACGACGGTCGACGTGGGGTCGGGGCCAGCAGCGAGCTGGACGATGAAGAACACGACGACGATGAACGCGCCAACGACGGACGTGTACGCAAACCGCATGCGGGTCACGTTGAAGAGCGGAATGAGGAGAATGACGAGGGGGTAGATCGGGCCCTTGGCTTGCTGGATGCACTTCTTCGTGATGAGGGCCATCGCGACCACAACGTACACGATGGACGCAATGCTGCCAACGACGGCGGTGAGTGAAGAAGCGATGGCCACCGCGGTACCTTTCGAGGCGGTCGCGCCCCCACGGGATGAAGGACATCAAGACTCCCAGTGCAAACGTCGGCACAATCACGCCAAAACACACCACGTACAGCGCCGCTTGTGCGTTTTCGTCGATGCCGGTGGACGACGCCGCGAATGCTTTTAGAACGAACGCTTCGTGCCAGTAGAGGAGACCGCATGCCGACGCGCCGATCGAGAAGCAGAGCCGCACGCGGAACCGATTCACCACATTCATGAACGCCATGTACTGCTTCTCGTACGGCTCTACGACCGACGATGACGATGCACATAACACACGAACGAGGGGGCGGCGTCGAGAATACCGCTAAAAAAGAGTAAATTCGGATCCATGCGCACTTGTTCTTGGCACCGCTGGAACTGAGATTGCACATACACGCGCTCCTTGGCGCGGCGCACCGCAGCTACACGAGTCGCATGCTCAGCCAACGTCGAACGCGCGATGGCGGCGATGCACGTACTGAGCACGGTGAGGTCGGTGTTGTCGGGCTCTTCGTTTGCGCGCAAAACTTCCGCCAGCACGTGCTCCCATGACACTTCTCTACACGTCCCAAGGATGAGCGGCCATCGACGCCTGCGATCGTACTTGTGCACAGATTCGCGCTTGGCGTGCGCACTCATGCTCTCCGTCGGCCCCGCGCGCGCGCCGTTGTTTTCCAACTCAACGTAGGCAGTTTTTTCGTGAAACGGAAAGGCCGACGAGGAATGAAACGAATGCCGCATGATCGTTGTTCACGACGCTTCGTCTTGGGAAGCTGACGCGGCGCCACCGAGGACAACGCGCCCAACGCGCCGCCAGATGATCGGGAGGCGCATCATGCAGTGTTGTCCCATGGGGAGCTCCAGCCGGGGGCCACCCCGTGGCAATCCAAGCCAAGGACGAACGAATCCGCCCCATTGCGATTTGCACCCCTCCCCAGGGAGCAGCCAACTTTGTCAACGGCCCAGCGCATCATAAATGTTGTCCTGGCCGCGACCATGCACTCCATGCTGCGTCGTTGAAGGCACTTGGTGGCCCAACGAGTTCCGAGTGCCAGCGCTTCGTCGATTGGTTCGAGCTGTCTCAGTTGGTCACCGCACTTGATGCTGGCCCGACTTGTCCAGCACCAGCGGGCGGCATCTCCACGACGTCGGGCAGTGCGATCGCGCAGCAGGTATACATAGGAACATGTGAATTCATCGCAATCCTACCATCTAGCTTTTCCTAGGTGGTCTGCCTACCCTTGGACGCCGTAGTCGGCGCGGTACTGTTTGATGGTTGTCAAGTACGTCTGACGATCGGCCGCACTCAAGCCACTCGCTTCGCCATCTTGTTCGAGGAGACGGACCAAGCTGTTCAAGTTGGCGATCGAGACGACTGGAATTTTGAACGACGCTTCGACCATTTGAATCGCCGACCGTGTATCTGTCACGGAGGCCTTTTCCTGGCGGTCGAGCGAGATCACGACGCCGACCACGTTCGCCTTGGCGCTCGACAGGATGTGCATCGCTTCCGTGATGGCCGTACCCGCTGTGATCACGTCATCGATCAAGAGAACGCTACATCCACACGCTCGTGAGCCACGGGGAAGACCAGCCCAGGAATCGAATCTTCCTACCGTTTGCCTGCGACGTCGGCGCCGACCAGCACGCCGCCTTCGCCGTGGTCCTTAGCTTCTTTCCGATTGAATGCAAAAGGTATGTCTCGACCGTAGAGGTCGTCAAAAGCAATCGCAACCGCCGCCGCCAACGTAATTCCCTTGTATGCCGGACCAAACAGCACGTCGAATTCGATGCCACTTGCCTAGACGGGATGCAACTGCATGAGAGTTTGCATCCACCGACCGACGGGACGTAAGCGACAAGCACGACTCAAAGAACGACGGAGGATGGGAGAGAGATGGCCAGCCATACGTGAATCGTCTTGGCGTAGAAGCGGCCGAGTTCGCGAAGCATGCGCCCGGTCTTGAAGAGGCCCGCGTTGAAGAAGTATGGGCTTTGACGACCCGACTTGAGCGTGAACGACCCCAACTTGAGCACGGAGCAGTTGAGGCAGAAGCGCAAAAATTGCGTCTGGACTTGCTCCAGCTTCATCGCGCGAACAACGTTGATGGCGTCGCGGAGCGCATGGGCGGCTTCGCGGGGATTCGCCGCCTTGGAGATGCCGCGCGACACTGGCAGAAGCAAACCAAAACCATCCTCCGACAAGCCAGCAAGAACCGCTTCCTCCAAGTTCCCGCCTTGCGCGCCAAGGCCGGGAGCGAGGAGCCACATGTCCGGGACAATGCGACGAACGTTGCGGAGAGCGACGACATCAGTGGCGCCGACAACAAGACCAATGTTGTCCTATGGTGAGCATGGATGAGGACAATGTTGAAGAAGATGGTGGGTGTACATGAGTGTTCCACGCAAGTGCCTTCTTCGCCACAGCCTCGTATACCATGGACCCGTCGCCCAAGGTGAGTGTCTGGAAGTCGTCCGCGGAAGGGTTGGACGTTTTGCAAAGCACGAAGCATCCTTTTTCGGGGTACTCGGTCATGTTAATGAAAGGGTCGATGGAATCCTTGCCCATATACGGCGCCAACGTGATCGCATGTGCTTTGGCCGAGTGAAATGCCGCCGATGCATAGGCTGCAGCTGTGGTGCTAATGTCGCCGCGCTTCGCATCCAATAGAACTGGGATCTCAGCAGGGATCGCAGCAATGACTCGGTCGAGGGCAGATATCCCTTCTGCGCCAAACACTTCGAAGAACGCCGCGTTTGGCTTGTACGCAACTGCCACGTCAGAGGTTTGGGCAATCAGGTCGAGGCAGAATTGCTCAGCGGCGGTTGCGGTGGGAGCCGGCAGCTCCGACACATGGGGATCGAGGCCCACGCACAGGAGCGAGTTGATCTTGTTGGCGCGCGCGCGGACTTGGTGAAAGAACGATGGCATTTTCCAAAGTGAGCAATTTAAATGGTCGGCTTCGGCCTCCGTGCACGCAATTGGCCCATGTTGGATGCAAAAGAATATGAATAAATTACTTGAAAATACTATCTACAATAGAAATTTTCATTCAATGTACAGCGAATGGCGACTGTGGGGTGCCCAACGAGACTCGGTTAAATGCGTCGTACAAAGAAAGTAAGCAAATTGTCAAGGACGAAATAAGCAATAAAATTCAGTATTTAACAATAATTTGTACATTTATAATACAATATTGAAAATTCTGCTTCAATTTTAAAAGTTTGGTGCCTTACAACGCGTAGTCCCCGAAACCCATTCCAGGGCGCACACAACATTTTGCCGACAAAGAGAGGCCGAGGCAGCACACTTCTCTCCAGCTGCACCCCTCCACGTTGGGGAACCCACACAGAGTGCGATCGGTAGCATTCCTGGGCCACTGTCTCCTTGGGTCTCCCGCGAGTGTGCTCATGAACTACTAAAGCCATTGCAGCACTCAGGGGATGAGTTTATCCGATCCTTGGCACGATGATTGGAAACAGGGCAAGCCATAGGCGTCAATCTACGCCTCCTATGTCGGAAGGTCAGTCCACGGGAAGGACGGGTGCATTCAATGCGACTGGACGTGCGCGCCACACGTTGTGATGGTGGCCGTGGCGTTGCGTAGGCGTCATGGAGGTTGGCACAGAATGCGCGGGGATGACATCGATCTCTCACACTTTGCGCGACTGTGGTTCATTAAGAGGCACAACTAACGACATGTAGTTGCCGCCACCTATTCACTACTCCAAGCACTCGATCTCGAGTTGAGGGCTGGTCGAGCTGCAACCCACGCCTGGCCGAGTCCTTTGACAATCGTTTCTGAGGACGTATTCCACAGCTCGATAAAATCCCCTGAGGCCACTCCAACGACGCCCATCTCAGGTAGCTGCTTCGACCAAGTGGGACCCTCTGTCTGCTGATGTGTTGCA